AATTGTTGGTAGTACTCACAAAGTTGCGTATGGACACATTTTTCTAAGATTTTTGACAATACCGGGAGCAATGATATTGGGCGATAGTTAGAGACCAAAGTAGTGTCACCACTTTTATGGATAGGCACTACTCTCGCAGTCTTCCAAAGTTTGGGTATGTATCCAGACACCAAGGATTCGTTAATTAGAGTTGAGACGGGTTTAGCAATTGCCGGCGCACTGAGCTTCAACAGCATTGCTGGGATTTGCTCAGGTCGGGACTGGTTTTTCATTTTTAGATTATTAAGATGTTTTTTAATGACACTAACAGGTACAGGTCTAAAATTAAACTTATCTATATTGGGCCTTTGCAAATTTAGACAGCATTAAGGCTGTCCTCAAAATTTGTGTGTTTTAATATGCTTTCGTGCATTGCTCATTCTATGTATTCACATTGTACGCAGCATTCATCTGATTGTTCGGTAAAATCACTCCATTTATTGTACAAGTAAAACTACCGAACAATCAAACCACCCCAGGGATAAGTGTGCCTTTCATTACCGTTCGCAACATTATTGCAAACCCATAATTGGCAATCGGTACTTTGTTCTATGGGTGGCCGCCATTCGGGATACGAACACGTGGCGGCGCCCATCTTAACTCCCGAACAGAGGTGTTTGGTCGTCGAGTGTCTGGAACCCAAATCGGACACTCGACTAAGCAAACACCGCTGATACCTCCAGACTTCCATATCTTCGTGCTGAAACAACCGAACGAACCGCCGTTCGGTAGAAAGACTCATCCGAACAAGGGGATTCACATGAAGGCAAGCAACAGCCATTTCTTCTGGTATTTTCATCCGTTTATACCCATGAACCGAGACCGACCGAAAGGCCAAAACTTATGGAACTATTTTTGGCTCCTGTTACCTGTGCGGTCGGTCAGAACTTTACTCTTCCATAACTCCCGAACCCCTGGTCCGATCTGGGTGATTTTTGAGTATGTTACTCACCCAGATCAGGGCTATCAGGGGATTCCCTATTTAGGAGTGTACCCTATGTATTTGGGGTACATCCAGGAACTGGGGAAATAATGTACATGGATTAAGTGGATTATGTGTCATGCTGAGGGGAGGAGATGTGTGGGAGGTAACATGTATTTTATTGGTTACTGTAATAATTACTGTGGGTGTCTCCCTTGCATGGGAGAATTGCTTAAAGGCAGGGCATGTGAAATTAAACCTCAGTTCTGCTCCTGATGCTGTGTGTCGTCCAGTCATTGGGAAATGTGTGGGATACTTTTGGATTACGTTACTAATCGTGGATATTATTCTCTTGGATTACCAGCGGAGATAGTCTGTGAAAGACCAGCACTCCGCTACACTCATGGATTCGGAGGAGGAATCATTGAGCCTTCTGTCTGCCAAGATTCTTACCATCCGCAAGTAGCTTTGCAGGGCACTTTTTTTCGCCCCCAGTTCCCCCTACGTTATTTGGCACGGCTCATTGGTCTGTCGGTCGATTGAAGCGGTGTTTCTGGCTCCTCTCCACTACAGGGCCCTTCAGCGTTTGAAGATTGCTCAGCTACACAAGGACGCATCTTACGTGGACTTGGTTACACTGGATGGTGAAACATAGGACAAACTGCAATGGTGGATCCTAGACCTGTCTGCATGGAACGGCAGGGCGATCTTCAGAGACTCGGACGGGAGTGTCGGGCTCCTTTGCGATCCAGAGTTTTGCGAGGGATCAAACACATGCTTGCATTCGCCTCCGCATGGACAACATCTCAACGGTGAGGTACGCCAACCACATCGGTCAGCGGTCCTAGCTAGGTTGGTGAAGGAATTCTCTGAGTTTTGTCTGGATCAGAATTTAGTAGTCCAGGCGGAATATTTATCGGGTCTGCACAACGTCCAGGCGGATTAGATTTCACTATCTCTTGGACAACGGCAACTGGAAATTGGATGCAGAGGTGTTCTCTGCTGTGTCGTCTCTTTGTGGTCCTTTTGCTATCGACCTATTCTCATGACGGCTCAATGCCCAAATCCCGCAGTTCTTCAGCTGAAGACCGGACCCGACGGCATGACTGGCACTGGAACCTCCTGTACGCATTTCCCCCGTTCTCCATAATTCCTCACACACTCCTACAGGCTCGCCGCTATCAGGCTGAACTGGTCCTCGTGGCTCCCTTCTGGGGGATGCAGTCGTGGTTCCCTCAATTTCTGGAGATGTCGGTTGATTGTCCCAGACAGTTGCTGTATTTCTCGGGGCTGCTTCACGATCCGTCCTGATGTTGTCACTCTCTGCTGGTGGACGGTTCCGTTCTTCTTCTGGCATGGCGGATTTCAGGGGACCCTGGGAGGTCCAGGGAGTTTCAGAGACTACTCAACGATTGTTGACGGATGCACTTGTCGATCATATGGGTCAGCCTGGCGATCTTAAGCTGGCTGGTGCCTGGCTAGGGACGTGAATCCCATTTCAGCTCCTGTGACTGCGATTCTGCAATTCCTGATGACTCTCTTTGAAGCTGGCAGGGCTTACTGAACTATTAACCTGTATAGGTCAGCTATATCTTCGACTCATCACAGTTTTGATGGTTGTCACGCAGGCCAACATCCTTTGGTGTGTCGCCTTCAATGTGGTTCCCGTCTCTCTCATCCACACAGGCCTCATTATTCCTCCAGTTGGGATGTTTCTGTTTTGTCGTTTCTCAGTGCCTAGCCTCCTAATTCGGAGCTCGTTACGACAGTTGTCGGCCAAATTGGTTTGTCTATTTCGCCTCATCTCTTGCAAGAGGTTGTCGGATGTCTGTGCTTTGGATTTTGATGCCAGGTCTTATACCCCAGAGGGTGTGACTTTCAATATTTCCAGGCGTACTAAGACTTCTATTAAGTCAATGTCATATCCGGCATTACCTTTGACACTGGTTTTGTGTCGAATATGAGAATCATTCCAGGCCGCACCGTTCAGTGTCTACACCCCAACTATTCCTGTCTTTTCAACCTACTTTTGCTCCAGTAGCTAGCGCCACATTGGCCGGCTGGTTGAAGTGGATATTAGGCCAGACTGGTATCGACACTTCTGTTTTTGGAGCTCATTCGGTTAGGGGTGCGTCTGTCTCTTCAACAATGGCTTCGGGTGCACGTTGGGAAAATCTTATGAGGATGGCCGACCGGTCGTGAGAATCGACGTTTCCTGAATTTTATTTCCGACCTGTTACTCATGTGTTTTCTGCGGGTGTTGGTCAGCTTTAAACTTGCAATAAGAGCCTCCGGGCAATAAAATTATTTGATTTCGCTATTACATGACGAAAATTCATGAATTTATTAAAGGCACGGAGGCGAGTATTGTCCCATCCAATATGAAGAATTTTATCAGCAGGCATTTGTGCTTTTTCCCACCCATGCTCGTTGTATGTGATTGGATTTGATGGTATGGTAAGTGGGGCATTTGTATTCATGGGTGTTTGGTTAGATTATACCTGTTTGGACTTTTGGGATTGACTGTTCATTTTGGGATGTAGATTAACGCCTATAAATTATCTAGCCTTATTGTTGGTCTGTAATACCGATTTAACCCTTGGCTCCTGTTCCATTTGCTGATGGATTATGTTTGCTGGTTTCCTGTTTTGCTGACTTTTTGTTATGGTGTGTCGCATCTTCAAGAAAGAGGAAGGTCTTAAGGATGTGCCTACTATTATACTAGGACTTGGTCAGCAATTATGTATGCATTCTTTTTTTTTCCTTCTGTTTTGTATTCTTTGCTGCTATTGGTGGACAGTAAAAAAAGATATGAAATACTCACCTCCGTGTCTTTAATAAAAGCATGACGTTTAATAACAGCTAAATCATGTAATTATTCAGAGTTTGGCAGTACCAATGAGAACAACAAGCATCTCAATACTATATCTGTCTGAGGGACCATGCAAAATGTATATAATGCAAATTGCCATGTCTTCTGAATGTAAATTCAATTTTTTTTCTCTGTTCATTCCAAGCACAAACTGAGAAATCATGATAAACAATTTGCTCTGCCAAATTGAATCTGACCAATTCATCTCTAAGAATGTAATAGTTTTTTTTTAGAAGTTATTTTAACTTAATTGTCTGCTTGTAAGTATGGGACAATAGGATTTGAGCTTCTTTAGCCTGTTCTTCCTCTGGTTTTATTCCAATGAAGTAATAAATAATTCCTCAAATAAAGAAATTGCAGAGAAAAGGCTTTAACCCCTTCACTACCATTAAATTACAAAGAAAACACCTCACCCCAGGAATCCAAGTATTTGGGGTATTTTGGAATGTAGTGATTAACTCCTTAAGGAGGTTTAGATGTTGTTACGATGACCAGAATGTTCCTGTAAACATGAATGCAGAACTGGTATATTTCCACCCCCTGGGACTGTAATTGCATTAAAGGGTTCAGACCCTATAAAATTAAATCCTGACATACATTTGTTAAAATACTTTGAAATTCTTTCGATATATCCAGGTGAGTGATTTTGCCACCCAACCACATATTAAACAGGCAGCTCACACCCCACTGACTTTTTACAAACGTCTCTGCAATGCTGACACCTCTCAGAAGGGGCTTATCACCACATTATATGCACACCTGGGCTCTAACACTACAGACTGGGGCAGACTAGACTACATGGACGCGGACACTGTTTTCTATGGCGCTACCTGATCTTATACCCTGAGGTTAGTGACTTAAGATACCGAAAGCCAGGTTTAGATCTTGGGGCTTAAAAATCAGTAGCAGAGCGGAACACAGTCAGGTTAAAAGCGATATGGAGGCCACACCAAGACCACCCACGACCTGAGGCCTAACTAGACAATGAGCACGGTTTAAAAAATAAATAAATGTGAACTAGGGATGGGGAGAAGAGACGACTGAAAGGCATGGTGATCTAAAGAGCAGGTTGCCTGCGTGCAACTCTTCTATACAATTTTTATGTAGTAGATGCAACATTGTGCAACATTTTATACTGATGAATGTTATACTTCGCAAAAATCTGCCGTATATTGTGATATGTATGATCACTGTCTTTCCACCCTATTGCTCACTTACAAATAAAGAATTAAACAAAAAAACATTGACAATGATTCACCAAATCATGATGTGCTTGTTATATGACTAAACAGAGACTCAGAGGACTATGCCAAATGTTTATTGTATTGGTAACACTTGAGGAAAAAAAAATAAAAATCAGTTTTGATAGTATTGCACATTTTTATTTAATTTTTAATTACAATTTTTTTTTAAATTAAATATAAGCATCCTCCCTGAGAATGATATATACAATACACAAGGCATTTACAGAAACATGTACAGTATGTGTGCACAAACACTGAATTTACATAAATCCCTGTAGGTAAAGTGCAACATCTTGTGTAAAAGATATTTATGAAAAAATATAATGTATAAGTTTTTTTCTATTCTGTATCTTCAAAAATTATTTTGCTTGTAAATTAGTCTAAGATTCCATTAAAATGAAAATTAGGCATGTGTGTGATTTTTGATTATTGACAGGAACACTGAGAACCATAACAACCTTATCGGAATGCAGGAATAGTGCCAGAAGGTCCCTGGTGCCAGCCTACTTCTAGGGGTTAAACTGCTTGCTCCAGGGTCTTGAATCCAGAGCCATTTAGCCTCCCCAGGTCCTACCGCTTCTCTCAAATTCTTCAGCTAACTTTCTAAGCCAATAAACAGTTCACCATCCACAAAGTGGTTTGAGAAACATACATATTTTCTTTTTAAGCCAATTTTATGAACAGGGAGATATTGATTGGCTTAGAGCATCAGTTGACACTCTCAACCAATTAGCATTGCCCTGGTCTGAGGCTGCTCGTTCCAAAACTGCGCTGAATTCTAGACTTTACATCGCTCTTGAATGGTTAAGATAAACTGACCCAGGGACCTCCTGGCATCAAAAAAAACAAACAAAAAAATCATGAAGCTGTTGTGGTACCCAGAGTGTCTTGTAAATTCTAATTGTTTTTGTATTTTTTTTCCATTCGCGAATAATCGCACCAACTGTTGTCACCTTCTCACCAAGCTGCTTGGCGATGGTCTTGTAGCCCATTCCGGCCTTGTGTATGTCTACAATCATGTCCCTGACATCCTTGGACAGTTCTTTGGTATTGGCTATGTTGGAGAGTTTGGAATCTGACTGGCTGATTGCTTCTCTGGACAGGTGTCGTTTATACAGGTAATGAGATGAGATTAGGAGCACTCCATTTAAGAGAGTGCTCCTAATCTCAGCTCCTTTCTGTATAAAAAGACACCCGTGAGCCAGAAATCTTGCTGATTGATAAGGGATCAAATACTTATTTCACTCATTGACATGCAAATCAATTTATAACTTTTTTGACATGTGTTTTTCTGAATTTGTTTTTTTGTTATTCTGTCTCTGTGTTAAAATACACCCACCATTAAAATTATAGACTGATCATTTCTTTGTTAGTGGGCAAACATTCAAAACCAGCAGGGGATCAAATACTTTTTCCCCTCATTGTAACAGCTTAAATTAGAAAAACCAAAAAAAAACACATCCTATTCAAAATGTATTGCGGGACCACATGTGTTCTCTTTTCAGCTCTTTAAAAAGTTCACATACATTAATATATTTTAAACTGACCTGGAAAACCTTTCTATTAAAAGAAATTCATGTTCTATGGTCTAGGATGAGTTAGATTAAAATTTGTGTGTGCATTCTCCAGTTTGAATTTTCCAACAGATCTAAAATAAAGTTTATATCAGTTGCACATCATCTTATATAGTTGGGGTAGGCAATGTTCAGCACTACAGATGTTGTAGTGATGCTTTGCCAGCATTATGCGAGATTTAGACCATGGCATCTGGATTGAGGAAGATTGTCAACCCAGTGTTCTACAGAATCACTTATTTAGCTTGTCACTTGGACTAAACTTTTTTTCTGTTCTCTCCAGAATTCTCCTTCTAGAATATACAACTGGTTTGCAATCACACAATTTATTTCTCTAAATGATGCATTATACATGACATACTTGTGATGGTTAACGCTATTTGATTGATCATGACCGTTTCATATAAATCTCAATAAAAATAATTTACAGAATCCCCTCCCCCCAAATGTAAAGAACAAATATTTCCTTAATGATAAAACACATAAATACAACAAACAATGCTTGTTTTCTCTTGATGCAGTTCCAACATAACTAAAAAAAAAGTCTGAGTACTTCATTCATTTGTTTCCACGAGGAGTCTTACTGCTTCCTGTCTACATGATCTTTAGCTTGTCCATATGATCCATGGTTTGTTCTTAAACTTCACACAAAATTGGCTCCAATGCACGCTTCGCATCCTTCCAGTTATGGAAATTAGTCTTGTACCATTCAACTGTTAAATTAACACAACAGATACATTGATCTTCACCAGTAAAGCTTATTTTCTTTATAAACACAGAATTACAAGTGTTTAAAGATAGTATTTGATTATAAATCACAGCATATTTATTCTATCACAGGCATATTTTCAGGTATCAGGCAATCCATCTATTTGTCCCTATGCAGTTATTCCCCTTGTTTGTTTTCCACCATTGCATATGTGAATCCATTTATCTATAAGGAAATCCTTCTTTCTCTATCTCTTGCGCTCTCTATAATCAACCAATAGATCTCTAAGTTAATTATTTTCTAAAATGTTGCATATTCATACATATTACATTTCTGCAAGTATTCATCCAATTGCTGCTTAAATATCTGTATAAACTCTAATAAAACCACCTCTTCGGGCAGAAACATTCCACATCCTTATTGTTCTTACTGTAAAAACCTGTCCTTTGCCTTAGACCGGAAGAAAAAAAAAGATTTAGTCTAAGTGCTTGTCCTTCTCCTGTTTACAATCCTGTGGATGAATAGATTTCCAGACAATGGTTTGCATTTAAGTAAACATTAAAATGCTGCATTCTTTATGAACAGCTTTAAATATGGACTTTATTACAGGTCTCTTGAATTTAAAATCTGAATTATTGTACCCCTAAATTTAAAAAAAACCACCACAATTGTAAAAGTGACACTATGGACTACTGAAAGTAAACTGACATACTTGTTTTCCTGATGCCATCTTTCCAATGAACTTTTGGTCTCCATCCTAAATTATGAATTTTTTCTGACTTCATTGGGTATCGGAGATCATTGACTGGCCTAAAACATAACAGCTATATTGAAAATGTATTGAAACACAAAACCATTCAATAAAATGACACACTGACCACTTTTTTTTTTCTCTTTTTTTTTTTTTAAAAGGAAAACCCCACCGACTTCTTTATACTCAGTATATGATAATATAAAACAGAACTAGGGTAGAAGTTCAGTTCTGAATTCATAGCGTTGTACTAAGCAGAAGACAGAATTAAATATTTAAATCCTTATAGGAATGTTAAGCTAACCAGTATATTGGTATGTGCTTGTTTTTTTTCTTCTGCGGTCAATGTCTCCTCTTTTATGTTCACTGTGTATTGATAGTTAATTATTTCTCACAAAATTATAGTTTGGCGAGATCAATCAAATATGCTCTCAAGTTTTATATCTTATAGGTAAACACAAGAAAATGAAAAACAAACAAAAAAGTTCTGTCCTACAGCAACTGGACCATTATCAAATTTTTATTTAAGATCGTATTCAAATGTTTCAGTTAGCAAGCGCGCGCGTCCATTCACACAATCCCCCCCTTCCCCCTGCCCCCTCCTCTCTATCGCTCTCTTATTGCAGCCTAAGGTACATTTGTGTGGGATGTTGTAACATAGAGAAGAAATTTAAATCGATCAAAACAAAGCTCTGCAAAATAGCTGGAGATTAAGAAATAAAATGTTTTTTGTGCAATTTAGTTATAGCATTTTGCGTCACAGAGAGATATTATTATAACCTTTATTATTACTGGTATTTATAAAGCGCTAGCATATTTCATATAACCTTTTATCCTAAGCCACAGTGCTCTCTCTATCTGCTGCCGGTCTAGCCTCCTTGGCGGAGATAATCAGGATTGATAATCTGAGCCAATTCAATCCTTTCCCATAGGAAAGCATTGTGAAGCCAGAGTCGCGCTGTGCCAATCAGATGGTCTCTATGACACCATCTGATTAAAATAGAGTTTCACTTGCCTATTTTGGAATAAGCTCCTCTAGTGGGACTTGCAAGGCTAAAACAAGGGGGCATCACACCCAGATCACTTAATTTAGCTGATGTGGTCTGGATGCCTAAAGCCTCCCTTTAATGTGATTTGGTAATAAATAGACTTATGCGTTTTAACGATTCAAGGGTGCAAATGACTGAATCAAGCTAAATGATAGGTCTGCAATAAAACAATAACAAGGAGATCTTGCAGCAGGCTCTACCACTTGAACTCCAATGATCGCTGACCGCCAGGCATAAGAAAGCCTAATGAAAAGGTTTTCAACCACATCACACACAAATTTTCTTTAGCCCATTGTTAACTATATAATTCGATGACCAAAGGGTTAGGGTTATTTGTTCTTTGTTTGCTCTAATGGTTAACTGAAGGTCCCCTCTGTCTTTTTTTTAATGAAAATGAAGATGTTAAGCGAAATCATCACTTTGTGAAAGTCCATATTTGCACCCTCAAGCCTGTGCTATGTTCATATGTAAATAACTGGTGGTGCACAAGGGATAGGGCTGTAGCTCAACGAATTATAAAGAAAATTGTGCTTATTTTTGTAACCATTTGTGACTTTTTTAGGAAAGCTTTATTTGCAGGGTTATTGGCTATTTTGTGTCAACACATACATATAGTTTGTATTGCCTCCTTTTTAAACAAGTTACATTTTGCAACATAGTTTTATGGTACATACTGTTATCAGTAGTAGCTTATTATTTACAGAGAGCTGTGGGGTTTTTTGAGCTGTATATTTTATTATTTTCTTTTGCATACTTTATCTTGTCAGTATAGTTAGTTGACCATTTCCTGTAAGTTTTTGTATTCTTTTGCATATACTTCTGCATAGTTAGTGCTCAGTACAACCTTCTTGGGTCATATATTTTGATTTCTTAAAAGGACACTAACCATTTATTCAACATCTCCCTCTTCTGTGCGATTACTAGTGCCTTAGTCCATTAAATAATTTTAATACATCAATATACGTACAGATATAATGGGTCAATACGGAGTCTATAGGCAGATTCCTCATTTTTTTTTTTTACACATTTCAACTCATCCTTTCTAATTTGAAACACACTCTGCTCCATTGAAAGCTGTTACAATGGTTTATTTGTGAATTAAGGTATTTCACATATAATTTTTTTTGACAAAGTAAATGCTATTTTATAGTATCGATTGGGTTGGTAATCTGTGTGTATCTTTGTGACTATTTTGCATTCCATTCGGGGTTAACCCCCACTGAACATTCCCATCCTGACACCCTTTATCTAACCTAGTTTATTTTGCTGCCTGTAATTTAGGATACTTGAAAACAGAAATGGCTCTAGCCTAAATTTGGCCTTGTAATTTTACTAGAATGGTGAAAGGCAAACATAAGGGGTATTTTTAAATCAGGGGATCAATAGAACACACATTGGGGTATGTTATTACAGTAGAACAAGCTTACAAAAAGCACAGCAAAATACAATGCTGTGTCTGTAGGTGTGGATACATATTACCTCAGATTTTGGCAGAGACTGGTCATAAAATGTCTGGATTAATACTATCAAATGCACCATAAATAAATACGCAGGGGTTTCTATTTTTAGAAAAGATATACTTTCATTTAAAAATTCTGAATTCAGGGTTTGTATGTCCCAGCTTGCCCAAGATTACAGCCCCAAACTGCATGGAGGTGATTTATGCACTATTGCCTATTCTTTATGGGGAATAATTGCATGTGCATTACCATTAAAATCATATTATATGCACACAGACAAACCATGGGTGAGGGAGCTTTCATTTTAAAATTAAATAATGAGTCACTTAATACCTTGTTCATTATATGAATCCCTGGTTTAAAATAAAAATAAAAAAAATAAAAAATTTTTTTTAACAACTCTAGCCCTTGTGATGCTTTTCAAGCAATATGCTCACATTGAAAGTATGATGCCCCTAGCAAGTATTTACAATAGCTGCATTTACAAGGTGAGATAGTTTCAGACATATGATTTTTCAGCCCACATACACAATGATCTACTTAAACCGCAAGAGAGAAAGAAGAGAGAGTCTAATTCCAATACATTATAACTTTATAATTTTTTTCCCCCATCCTAAAATTACCTGTCATTTACATATTCCATCCAGTCCTTTGTTTCTGTTTCCGATGTTGTATTTTTGATCTGTGTACAAGAAATATATGCAAGAACCATTAAATTGTTAAAATTCATTTATTCTCAATGTCTTATATACATCATTCTTGCACAGTACTTTATGTAAGTGATCATGTTACCCTGTGTCTCCAACAACATACAGCACACTTTACAAAAATTGCAAATATTAGAAAAGGACATTTTAAGGCCTGCATTGGAAGTGTGAACATTTTGACCTGATAAAATATATATATTTTTTTTTTTATCAGTTATGTAACTTAAATAGTAATTTAGATCAGCTATTTTGTTTGCACAAACTAATTTGTACACATTTTATAGTTTAAATACTCAACTCAAGAGGTATTAATGTGGAGCTCTGTGATTTACACGGAAATGCCTAAAAATGAGCTCATAGAAAAGACAGAAACTGAATGAATGTTTAGTTTAACCAAAATAAGCCAGTTTTCGCTAGCTGGATATGTGGTGATAGAGATTAATATTTAACTATTTGAAATATTACATCTGATTTCTTAATTACTTTATATCGGGTTACAGTGTAGACTGACCACACAAAAATATAATTGATCATTAGAGGTTTGAGAATCAAATATTCCACTCTCCCACCGACAGACACTTGTAAATAAGAGAAAAGTAAGTAAAGTCTTCATTTTAAAATATTTAAAAAAATATCTACTGAAAAAAAAAAAAAAAAAAGGAGCATACAAACAGTATAATTAACATAAAGATGATAAGTCCACATTAATAAAGCTCTGAACAATCACTGACTTAGTGTTTCAGTATTCATTGAGGCTTTAACGTGAGTTGTTGGGAGAATCAGAACTGCTCATATCTTATTAATCTTTTTATAAAAATGTATAAAATCTTCTTATATGGAACTAGATAATGAGTCAATCAATTCAAGAATCCAGGTTTTAAACTACACATTTGCAGTAATCATTAAGAATGCTATAATGGAACAACATGTATTAATCTGAGTAATGCATTCATTGTGACTTACCAATTCGATCAGCTCCCTAGCAAGTTGAGTTACGGATATTTCAAAATTTGTACCAATGTTGTAGATTTCTCCAATTTTCCCAGTTTCTAAAACGGTTAGTAATGCTTCTACAACATCTGTAGCATAGAGGAAATTTCGTGTCTGGCGTCCAGTGCCATGGATAAAGCTTAAATTGCAGAAAACATTGCATTATTAATGGTAACAAATCATTCTGCAGATTATTTTTCATCTATGACCTCTTTCTAATTTAGATTTGTCATTGTCCAGTTTCTGTAAATTACCAATCCAGACACATAATAAGTTGTTTTAGGAATGACACCAGCATTGACCTCTGTTAATTTCTGTTACAGTATGGACACTTAAGCCTACTTTGCATGCTCATTCATGCGATGTGAAATAAGCTGTCTGTAATAGTTTATCACTTTTCGAGATCAAGAATGTTTATTTGATTAAGGGGAAACAGCATATTAAGTGTTGAATACCACATGATGGACAGACGGAGGCTCCATATCCAAGTACTTCAGGATCTCAGTCGAAGAACTCCAATCTCACAGAGGAGTGAATACAACTCCTTTTTAGCTGTACCACTTAACTCAATTAGTGAAGGTATCCATCAACGCTAAGATAAGCTAAAATAGGAGCACTCTCACCAGTCAGTCTCTGAACATTGATTCAATCCAAGTCCTCACATAACACGAAAAGAGACTTGAGAGATACATCAACCTTATTTAATATGATGTAGTAACAACAGTGTTTAAATTACTTATCTGGGGTTTGGATTTAGCAGCTCTGCCTAAAGGTTTTCTACTTTTAGATCATGATTCAGTTCAATTCTTATGCAGGTTACAGACAAATGTTATGTAATGTTAAGTCAACTTCTTTTCCACTTTAATTACATTATTATATTACACAACACTTTATACCAACCAATGGGAGACCGAATTAGGGATTCACTTGAAAACCTGCAGGGACTGACTATACTCAATAGCACAACAACATTAAAGGAACACTATAGACACCAAAACAACTTTAGCTTAATGAAGCAGTTTTAGTGAATGGATTATGCCTCTGAATTTTCACTGCTCAATTCACTGCATTTATGGGTTAAAACACTTTGTTTCTGTTTATGCAGCCCTTGTCACACCTCCCCTGGCTCTGATTGACACAACCTGCATGAAAAAAAACTGGTTTAACTTTCAATCAGATGTAAACTTTCCTTAAAAGATTTTATCTCCTGCTCTGTAAATTGAACTTTAAATTACACACAGGAGGCTCCTGCTGGGTCTAGCAAGCTATTAACACAGCAGAGGATAAGAAAATCTAAAGTAAACAGAATTTGCAATAAAGGAAGGATAAACTTTAGATGACTCTTTACAGGAAGTGTTTAGGAAGGATGTGCAAGTCACATGCAGGAAGGTGTGACTAGGGTTCATAAACAATTTGATTTACCTCCTAGATGGCAGAGAATTGAGCAGTGAGATTGCAGAGGCATGCTCTATACACCAAAACTGCTACATTAAGCCAACGTTGTTTTAGTGACTAATGTCCCTTTAAGCTGTAGTTGTTCTGGTATCTATAGTGTCCTTTTAAAAATTTAATTTTTGGACGGTTGGATCCATAGTACCTTTTACAATGTGTCTTTCTTATTTGCTTAGCAGGACTACAAGAAATAAAATTGCATATGTTTTCCACCTTTCTCACTCCGTAATGGAACTGTATGTATGCTTATCCTGTGACCATGCTCTGTTTACAATGGTTCAGTTACTATGTACTTTATCATGGCTTGTATTTGATTTCACTGTTGTGAAATGTCAATTTTCATGGACAGTCACTAAAGAGTACTAAAATAAAACAAATTTAGCAAAAAATCTAAAATCCATATGGATTAAAGAAATAATAAGGCTAGTTGGCATCAGCAGATAATCATTCATTCTTGTTTTTGTGACAGAGCATTAGTAGATAATTAACTCCAAATAACAGCAAGTTCCAGAAAAAATTACTAAAGGGTTAATCAATATTAAGTGGTAAAGCGTAGACTCCTTGACCATTTTAATTTTTTTTTTATTTTTTTTCAGTGGTGACCTCTATGTATTGGTCTTGCAAAACCACCACTTTTCATTTTAATAAGATTTAACCAAGGTTGCTCTCTTTGTGTCATGGTGCACAGATGTTTACAGCATTACATTAGGACTTAAGTCAAAGGAACAATAATGTGAAAAATGTGCATGTAATGTGCTGTAGAAATCAGAGTTTGATCCAAGGAGCTTCCTGAGCAGAGGTATTGCAGATTGTATGAACAGTTGTATAACCAAAATTTGTTGTGTAAGATGACACAAAGTTGGCCTCAGTTGTTAAACCAAGTCAACTTAAAATAAAAAAGTGGTGGTTTTGCATTAACAATACATAGAGGTGTATATATATAAAAAAAATCCATAAAAGAAAATCTAGAAGATTTAAAAATGGTCAAGCAACCAACATTATAATTATTGTACCACGTGAATGACCCTAAACAAAAGTTTAATAACAAGAAAGTCTGTGCTTTTTTTCCCCAAGCACTAAAACTAAACTATTAAAAAAAATAAAAAACATTTAACCCAAAAAGCAAAAGGGGATGGAGTCTGACTGCTAAGCACACCAGATCTGTGTAGCAAGAGCTCACACATCTGGCAACAAATATCAGGGTGTATACCCTAGCTACCCGCACTTTTTGACCACAGCCTTCATTACTCTAGCGGTGAGATGCTGCTGTACCCAGCGGTACCTTGCACAGGCTTTGGCATACCCTACTCGAGGCCTACATGAGGCTGAACCACAGAGAGGCGGCAGCTCTCTTGGTTCCTGAGCGGAAGTGGTGACTCATGCGAATTCCCCCCCCCCCACTGGACCGGCTGGGGTTATCCCGGTCCCCACTGATCAACTCCAGTCACCTTGCTGACCACAGGCAGCTGAAACTGTACAGGCTCAAGCTAAACTTCCTGAAAATGGCGGACGCACCTACTTTCTCTGATGGTCGGCAACAGCCTGCAGTGCCAGATGGGTGCGTCACACTAGAACGCATTCTGAGGCGCCTGGATAAAAGTTTCTGGACGCAACTGGAGGCAGGAGTCACGGCAGCAGCTGGGGGCCCGTAGAGTGGATGGAGGAGAGCAGTTAACAGGGTGCTCGAGTCCCCTCCGGGCACAACTTCCTCCCAAGCTCCTAAATCTCCCACACTATGCTGCCTGGGCAGAGAGCAATCAGGGACCCCCTCCTGACGCGTCACCTGCAGAGGATCCTACGCCACAAGCGGCGACCGACCATCAGGAGCTTCTGCCACATCCCAGTAAGGAAGGACTTGGACGCTACAGCGAGACCCCGAGTCTGTGGTAAAGTGATGCAGGCCCTCAACATGGCCCAGGGCTAGAGGGATTACACACTTAGCCCCTGCCCTGGACTACCTACGAGCTGCCTCCACATGTTCTCATGTCTTGGTGTAGGCTGACGCTGGACTATCCAAACAGGGCCAGCTTAACCCCCAATCACTTAATTCATGCTGCACCCTGGTTTTATGTGATTTATATCTCAGGTTTAGTTAAATCTACCTCACCTGCTCTGAGCAACACTGCAGCTTACCTGCAGGCTAAGCTAACCTTACTAAGGGAGTGTGCAACACTTGTCAATTCTGAAACTTCATCAGATCCTTTCAGTCCCTGTGTTTCCTTTAAGCCCTGGGCATATTATTGAAGCATACCTCTATCAGTCCTGTACCATGTTAATGTCAGTGGTAACCCTCAGTGGGAAACTCATGTAACCCTGGCTTAGCACACTTCTACTTCTTCCCCTTTACGTATGGCTGGTTTCATGCAAGATTTTGCACGTTTTCTTAACCATAGCATATTGCAACCACTGCCATATTATGATTTAGCTTGTGTCGACCAGTCAGGGAAGCATAGCTAGCATATATTGTCTTTATATTAAAAAAAATAATAATTATAATAATTGTGCGTGTCTTGTGCGATCATGAGCTTGAGGATTGCTGTTAGGGCACCACAAGCTTGTTTGTACTATTCTTCTGCACTGCAAAAACACAATAAAATAATATTATTATTATTATTATTATTATTATTATTATTAATATTCACCATTTTCTGTTGTGTTGTAATAAAGAAATAAATTTGGGTATGACCTAAAAGAAAAAGAAAATACATAAGTTTACATAAGTCATAAGTTTGTTTGCAATGTCTACGAGAATATTATAATTCTCTTATAGAGAATAAAAAAAAAAATTTAAAAAAAAGTATTTTCTACAATTCCTAAAACAACAAAATTGTTCCAAAAGGTGTTCACCTGCCAGTTGTATCTAAAGTGATAATATATTTATTTTTCACTCTGCATTATTCAATGCCCATGCATGCAGGTGCACTACAGTGAGTTGGGATCACATATTTATGGTCGAACATACCATTCACACAGATTCTATACATGTGGTCTAACAAGTGTTATACCAACATCAAGTAAAAAACATGTAGTCACCATTAGCCCATACTGCCATAACAGCGAAATTCATCTGTCCCTTCTTCATAACTCATGGTGCAATGTCATGTCATGTGACAACATGTAATCTAGGCTCAGGGTACTCATGTCTTGTGGAAAACATACTAAAGAACAGATTTCAAGTATTGTGGTGCTAATTGCCACTTGTCCACTTTCTCCAAATATAGACATGTTGGAACCAAGAGTGTTTGCAGAAAATTTTCTAGGGGGCCAAAGACATAATTTATATAGACACGATCACTCTTACATCTTAAGAAAAGCAAATTCCAATGAGTGAGGGACCTTTGCGGTGGATATCCATGGTTAAGACTGCCCACTTAAAGGGATACTGTAAGCACCAAAACAACTTGTTGATACAGCCCTAATCACACTTCCCTGCATGTGACTTGCACAGCGTTCCAAAACACTTAATGTAAAGAAACCTTGATATTCTATGTTCCTTTATTGCACAATCTGTTTAATATATAATTTAATGAAACAGTTTAAGTGATTCTATAAACAAACCTGTTTTCTTGGCACTATAGGCTGCTGCAGTGCCCCCTCCCTCACGACCCCCCTCCAGCAGGGCTAAGCCACTTCAGCCACTTACCTGAATCCAGAACCGATGTCCCTCTGCGCTGGGTCAGGCTTCGCCAACCCTCCTTTCCCGCTGGCGGGGGAGACCTAACGCGCATGCGCGGCAATGGCTGCGTTCGTGTTTGGATTTTACCATAGGAAAGTGAGTTTTAGTGTTTTTTCGTTTCTTGTGAGATAGGTGAGGACAGCACAACAAGGGTTAGTCTAACCCAGCGGTTCCCAAACTGTGGGAACACAGGGGAGCTACAAAATATGTTGCTATGATCATAGCACAGGGAACCATGCCTTACTCTCCCCTGCCGGCTCTGCAGGACCGGATGAGAGATCTCCCTCACCGGCCCGCTAGTACTGTAATGCTGCATTCGACAGGGGAGGGAGAGGACCTGGGGAGCTCCGTCAGGTTCTCCTCTCGCAAGTTTGAAACGTAGCCGTGGTTACCATGGCAACGCTCCGAATCTCGTGAGAGTGTACTCTAGCGTCAGGAGCTGCTAGAGTTCACTCACCACCAGGGATTAGTACTGTCCCCCTCCCCAGACAAAGGTAAGCAGGGAGGGGGGATATCAAAATTATGGTTTCTTTTATTATATAAATCTACCTTCCTACCACCACAGACGCACAATAATTCTCCCCTATACACGCACACTGCACCCCACACACACACACACACACCACTGCTCTTATCCCCTACTAAAGCCCCAATCCCGGCAGACCCCAGGTAAGTTGTCAAACTGTTCTTAAACACTTTGACTACTTACCTTGGGAGGGCACCAGGGCACCATAACCACTGCAGCATGCTGTAGTAGTTATTGTGCCTGGATTGTTTCTTTAAATAATCTACCAGTGCCCCTCCAGAGTTTAGGTTCTGGATCTGCCCCTGAAATGCAAACATTTCTGCTGAACAAGGGCCCAGTATATGCCGCAGCGCTGTACAACCTGGACACTTTTTTTGACTTGGGACAGTCAATTATTTAGGAAGTCAGCCCTAACGTTTGAGCACATGTATATGTCACTAACCTTTTCTGGGTATTGATGAGGTCCATAAACATTGCTACATCTTGTGATAACAACTGGAAACTGAAAAAGAAACAAACACATGTATTGGTTCTGTGCTGGAACCACACTCTATATGCAAAAATATCAACAAACAAATCTGCCTAACGTACTGCAATAAGTTACATAACAGAAAATAAAGTATGATGGCTTGCAAACGTATAAAGAGTCAGTGAATTTCATAGGGCATATTTCAATTTCAATCTGTATTTTAACTCACTGAAATTAAACAAATTATTTTAAGTGGACATTTGTGCATTGTAAGAAAAATAATAAAATGTTTCTACCATATATCTGAAATTTCCACACATGAACATTTGACACAGCCACCTTTCACAGGATTTATTGAATTTAAAGATAGCTAAGTAGCCAGAGTAGCTGAGTTGAAGTCATAGATTTTTTCAAGTTTGGCTATTTTGACCTTAAGTTAAAAATTCACTTTCAATTCGCACTTTGGTGAATAATCCGGTCAGTCTTTTGGTTTATACATGTGCTAGATTTGCTCACAATAGAACATGGATTTTGCCCATTATATAGACAGATTTATTGTACAGGTTGTCTGTCTTGTATGGACAACGATATTTAAACAGTACCAATTTCTTAGTGGGCTGAAATTAAAATTTAAGGAAATTTACATGTTTTGCTCTGAGCACTCACAAGTTTATCCAAGGTTCACAATAGCGATTATAGTCCTAATGAAAAAGCTAATTTTAAAAACTTCACTTTTGTGAGTTTTTTTTTGTATTTTATGGTTTTTCTATCCACCCATTATTTCATTAATGATATCAAAATGCTGAATTCCAGCTGATAAGCAGTTATTTGCAAGCCATGAGGCACGGATAATGTCAGTTTTGATTTAGACTTTTGCTATTTGGGGTACAAAGTTTTACATGTTGAGATAAATTCTATAGTTTTACTTGGTGATTGTTTCTTATTTTGCACATTGCAGAAGAGTAGCACGTTTTACTTTGCTAAGTCTCCCCTTTTATGAAACATAATCTTGGTTTTATAAAACTACAAAACCATTACACTACATTTCAATCAGTACACATTAGTGATTTCTTCATATGTCAAGCTCCACATGTACTTCCAGGTGGTAATTTTGACTAATGGCTTCTTCAGCGTTACACATCAGCGTTACACATCAAATTATATGTATTATTATGTATTTAGCAAAACCTGTATGTTTGGTTGCAACCCATTCAATGAAATTTGTAGCTCCTCGAAAGGAATTATTGGCCTCTGTGTGTCTTCTCTTATAAATAATTTTGTTTGAGTTTTGATGGAACACCTTTTCTAGCCAGGTACATATGTTGCAATAGTAAGGCTAATAAGAAGGCCAATGCTCCATATTTAACCATTTTGTGTGGTGTCTTTAAAGGACCACTATAGCGCCAGGAAAACATACTCGTTTTCCTGGCACTATAGTGCCCTGAGGGTGCCCCCACCCTCAGGGTCCCACTCCCGTGGCACTGAAGGGGTTAATCCCAGTGCCGGGCTCCCTCAGCACTGGGACTCTCCTCCCTCTTCTTCCGTCATCGGCTGAATGCGCATGCGGGCATTATCCATTATCAATGCTTTCCTATGGACGCTGGCGTCTTCTCACTGTGAAAATCACTGTGAGAAGCGCCTCTAGTGGCGGTCAATGAAACAGCCACTAGAGGCTGGATTAACCCATAGGTAAACATAGTTTCTCTAAAACTGCTAGGTTTACTGCAAAAAGGGTTAAACCTAGCTGGACCTGGCACCCAGACCACTTCATTAAGCTGAAGTGGTCTGGGTGCCTATAGTGGTCCTTTAAGCTTTTATAAACAGAAAAAGTAGTAATGGGGCTGAACACCAAAGTGTTGACCTGGCAAAATGTAATATTTTGGGGGGTAATTACTATATTAATGCTTTGGGTAAGTTGTCATCTGATCGTTGCTGAAATGGAGTATGGGATGCTATTTTCGGCCTAGCAAACAATAAAGGGGTCTTTAACTACTCAGTGTTTCAGCATAATCCCTGTAAGATTTCTTGTAATTGTCCTATTTATAGTTAAACACCCACTCTCATAATATTGTTGGCGCTAAATAAATGGCAATAATAATAATAATAATAATAATAATAATAATAATAGATGGGAATACCAGTAGTAGATATTTTGCCAACAACTTTCAGAAGAGGAGTACATTAGGTGATCCTTGGAATCCTTCTGTAGGACTCCTGAACTACCTACGGGGGCTCAATATCTTCAAAAGGTAGTTCTTTCAATCTCAGCCAAATGTTATTACTGGTTAGACCAACTTCATAAACCTACACTGTAGTACGTAAAGGAAATCACTTGTCATTTATTTAATAGTTACAGCTATGATGACAAATCTGAATTGAAATAAAGCTTTTTGATCACACATATTAGACCCTTTGTTGTCTTGCAACTAAAGCCAGCAATATCTTCTTTTGCATAAGGACACAGTCTACCAATTCACCTTAGGGGGCATATTGATTAAAATCAGTCCTGGCTGTATCACATATTTTTGTGTTTACTGTGATTACAGGTTCTAACTTTATAAACAATTTTTGATATGAAAGAATTTAATGACAGCTGGTGAACTGCAGAGCAGGTGGTAGAATGTGCTCAATAATCTAAATGTATCCAGCAGTCTAAAAATCCTTTCACACTTCACAACATATGGCTGTGCAATGCTTCATTTCCACACATACCCTGCTGAATAGAGTTAAGACTCCCTGTGCTAATGAATCCTTGGCTGTCTCAATGTCTCCTTACCTTGTACGTTTCCCAGAAAGACAGCACAAAGCTTTCTGCAGCTGCTTTGGACGATGCATATGGATTTGTTGGCCGTTTTGGTGATGTTTCATCAAATTCCTAATGAAATATGAATTTTAAAAGATGGCAGTGAGCTGGAGTAAAGTCAAAAGCCTGCATAAAAACAGATTATATGCTAAGAGATTAATCAAAGTTAATTTCCTACAGGGCATCCTTTTTTTAAACTCAAACTTTTAGAAACTTTGTAATACAAATGTTTTGCATTTTCTGGAGAAAAGAAAGAAAAAACAAAAACAGACAAACAATACAATATGGCACCCTGGTGCAGTGTGTCAGTTTTTAGCAAAATGTATTTTATATACAAGTCAGGCTTGACAAATTTGTTTGGAATCTAGGACCCAGCTAAAAAAGTTAGGGGCCCGGTTATTTAAGGGACACAATAGTCACCAGAACCACTACAGATTAATGTAGTTGTTCTGGTGCCTATAGTCTTTTCAGAGAAAAGGCAGCGTTTACATTGCAGCCTACTAAGACCTCTAGTTACAGTCAGACAGACAGCGACCAGAGAGTCCTGTGTCAGTGCTCTGCATAGAGGTGCTGAATGTTACCCATAGAAAACATGCATAATATCCTCCCAATACTTTCCTATGGGGAAGCATTGGCTTAGCCGAGATTATTAAGATCTCCGCTATGGAGGCGGGACAAGCAATGGCAAAACTAGTACGGCGTGGGAAAAAAGGTGAGTATAAAACACCAATCATGTGATCGGAGGAGGGCAGGTACCTAAACAGACATATATATATATATATCTCTCTCTCTATCTATACACACACATATTATTATATATATATATATATATATATATACACACATACATATACACATATACATATACACACACACACACACACACACATATATATACATACATATATACACACACACACACACACACACACACTCACTTTCTCTAACACTCACAAATTTATATTTTTAATTCTAATCCACCCAGCCTCCCTACCTTTGGAAGAGCTGAGTGGACTTTCCCTGGGGTCCAGTGGGGCTGGTATTCCTGTGTGCGAGGGAGCAGTGATCTTCCTGCAGCTCCTTTCTGCTCCCTCGCACTGTCTGCAGTGATGCCGGGGCCGAAATGACTTCATATACATACACAGCGTGAGGGAGCAGAGAGGAGCTGCAGGAAGATCACTGCTCCCTGAGCCAGCCACCTCCATTCAGTCCAGGGCGGCTTGCTTTAGGTATTTATTTATTTATTTATAACTTTAGTAGGGAGAATTGGTTCAGGTAGACACTAGTGGTTAGACCACGGTGTCGAGGTAACTTTTAGGGTGAATTGAGAGATTTATTTATTTGTGTGAGGCTTTTCATCTGCGTTTAGACCCGATTACCCGGTCCCTTGTTCTCTGGGGACCCTGTGCCTCTTCTCCCTCCCTAACCTCGTTTACACTACCTTCCTGTCAGTCAGACACTAGGGGAACTTAGATGCTAGCTAGTACTCCAGACAATTGATCCCCTGGGCACCGTTTTGTAGATTTCCTTTTTTTCAAGTTATACTGTTTGCTTGTATATCCCTTTTTATCCTTGGATTGATTAAAGGTAGGGCCTCCCTTCCTCATTTATGGTATAGTGGAGCTCTCCTGATGTGTAGAGTCCCACAAGGGGAAACCAACATCACCTACTCCTATTACCTACATATTTTGGAGGGTTAGCCCCTCATTAGAGCTCCCTATTAGGTGGTTACAGTGGTGCAGCTCATGAGCCCTTGACTTGTATCTGGACTCCTGACCTGCACTCTGTTTACTTTATTTCTCCGGCTTGCTATAAAGTTTCCTAAGCTGGCCGCCCTGGGCTGTATGGAGACGGCCAGCTTAGGAAACTACAACGCTCCCTGAGCCGGCCGACTCCATGCTCCCGCGGGCGGGCAGCCGGCCAACTTCATTGTTTGCCCAGCCGACCACTTTAGGTAAAAGGCTGACAAATCACAGGTGCCAGGGCAAAATTTGTTGTCGCCATGGCGACCTGGGATTTGTCGAGCCTTGATATAAGTGATCACTGTCCTTTCTGATCTAGTTATTTCTAAAGTTGTAATACAGATTAAACTTAACAAAATTGTACATAATTAAATTAGTAAATCCCACAAACTACCGAATTAAGTATTGGAACCCACATAACTCTAGTGTCACTGAAAGCATATTTACATAAAACTAAGAATAAATAGAAGAATAAAAAGCTGTATCAGAAGAGAAAGAGATGACAACAATTACGGAGGATTTCCTAGAGTTATTCTGAAGATTTCTGTATTTATATATACACACATTGCTATTGGATGACACCCAAAACCTAATTAACCATTATAGTGTTGCGTATAGAATAATGTGTTAACAGTGATCAAATTAATATCAGTGAACATCCAAATACATACCACTTGACAGGATAGAACACAAAAAGTCAACAAAGCTGATCATTTTAAAAAGGTCATTAAAATTTACTAGGATTCTTACCTCATCCAGACTACCACCATAAACTTCGTCTGTGCTTATATAGACAAACCTTTCTACCCCAGCTTCATGAGCATGAGTGAGTAGAATGTGTGTGCCATAACTGTTCACAAAAGCAAATTTAAAGGAATTCAAAAATGAAAGATCTAAAACAGAACACAGACAAAAGCTTAGTGAAGTTTACATAGAACATCCCATATATTGGTTGATGTATTAACATTCAATTAATTTTTGACCATGTTTATTTGAACTTTAGTTTTGTTGATTCAATATGGTTTACTTATCAGATAGATTATACTTTATATTTCATTTGTTTTACCATTTTGTTTTATTTATTTTTATCACTGTGATTTGCATTGGTTTACTTAAATACTAGCTGTATGCAAAACTGTTATTTCTAAATTTCACATATTCACAGATTCTACAAATATGCAAAAAAAACTAAATACATTTCTTTGCTCATTCTAGCATGTGTGCCTGTATGGAAGCATGTTGTAATAATTACTGCCAAAAGATTACATTTGCAATTATTTGTACACATCATTATTAAACTGTATACACACATTTGCAATACGAGTCCTTACCTACATGGGTTTGTGCAGCAAAATGCAATACAACATCGATATTTTCTGTATCGAAGAGATGCTTTATAAATTGTGAGTCACAGATATCACCCTAAGGAGATTTAAAATGATTAAATCAGTGTAGAGATAGAAGATATACAAATATTTTGTATGCTTTAACAGACTGTGGTAAGCAGTCATGCTAGTTTATTGTAAAGTGTGCATATCTGATGAAGGGAATGACTTGATTTGAAAGATGTGATTTAAGTGTTTAAATGAATGTGAAATTACGGAACAAATGCTTGTCCTTTGCAAATTATGTGGTAGATTTTCAGTTGCATACACTGTAAAATTAATAATTGAGAAAGCAGTAATTTAGTACTCTGATTTTATGGAATATTTCTGTAGCGTACAAGGGTCACACAAAAGTCCTTAAAATGATATGAATGGAATCATTCACAGTTCTGCAAACAGAGTGAGTGTAAAAATCAAGGCACAACTAATGCAATGAACCTACCATGACTATAACCCACACAAAACAAAGACAGAATGATCTGATAGAATACTTGTCAACATCAGTGGCGGCTCTAGACTTTGTGAGGCCTTGGGTGAAACTCAAACACTAACGCCCAAAGGACAAAAAAACAACCAAAAAAAAAACACAACAAGGTTTGTATTGTGTGTGTGTATGAGGAGCTGTAGTTATATTGCTGTGTGTGTGTGTGTGTGTGAAAAGCTGTATTTAAATTGAAGGGCGGGCTTGCAGCGCTGGATAGAGAGAGCTAATCTCTGTATTCATTATTCAGAGGCTTGCAATGTCGCAGCGCACTGTGTCAGTGCGTTGTGAGCTCTATGATGGAAGTTATGGCATAATTTGCAAACAAAATTAATTTGCAATTATGTGAAACATTTATACACAATTGCCGGGTATGGTTACATAGCGTGGCAGTCGTGTATTCATAAGAGTCAGTGTGAAACAAAAATTAAAAATTTGGTTAAAAAACAAAACAAAAAAAAAGGCTTAAATAAAAAAATAAAATAAAAAAAATTAAGTTACATATAAGAAAAGGTCATCAACATTTTCCTTACATAATCTAGAATCCCTTCCACATAAATATTATCCTATATAATATATATATGTGTTGACCCTTGTTTTTGTATTGTATATGTATGTATATTATAAATGTTGCCACTTTACCTTTGCATTGTCCATACCATACCACTCTCACATTGCAGCCATAGACACATACTAGTAGATGCAAAAACTCTCTGCATCAGTGTGTTTGTGTGTATACATGTGCGTATATCAAAGACACACATAGAAAAATATGGCAGTGTGTATTTCTGTGTGAGCCTGGAATGGTCTACGTGTGTATGTGCCCGAGACTGTGTGTCTGAATTTATGTCACTGTGAGCATGTGTGTGTGGGGTAGCTGCTTGCATTGTGTTGTGTGTACGGGCGGGAGGGCTTCCTGTGGCCGTTGTGCTTTGTATTTATGGCAAAGCTATGTTTCATGACTGTGTGTGTATATATATGATGAATGTCTTCAACTTGAGACTATGACAGGGTGAGTAACTGGGTAACTGCGGCAATGTAGAGGTGAGGGCGACAGGCTTTGGGGTTGAGTGTTGTGACAGGGCGAGTGGAGGAGTGTGTGTGACAGGGCGAGTGGAGGTAAGTATGACAGGATTAGGATGGCTTAATAAAACAGGGTGAATGTGCATGGCTGCTGGGGAAGAATTTAATAAAAGGATTGGAGCGGTTATGTGACAGGGTAAGTGTGGCATGGTTGGGGGGGTTAGTATCACAGGGTTGAGGTGAATGTGGCATGGTTGGAGAAGGGGAGTGTGACAGGATTAAGGAGGGCGAGTGTGGTAGAGTAACATGATTAGAGGCGCTAGTGAGTGGTATTGTTGGAGGGGTTAATGTTACAGGATGAGTGGGGCAGGGTAAAGGGGGGGTGAGTGTGACAGAATTAGGGGGTTACTGTAATAAGGTGAATGTGGCAGAGTTAGGGCAGGTGAGTCTGCTAAGCTTGGAGGGTGTGAGTGACAGGAACAGGAGGGGTTAATTTGAGTGTGGCTGGTGAAAGGGGCTGACAATGTGTGTGGGAGTGATGACCGTCTATTTGGGTGAGGTGACAGCGTGTGAGAGGGGGAGACAGTGCCTTGATAGTCGGTCTGAGGATCATGTGTTTAGTGTCTTGCGAACTCTGGAAGTATCAGAGTGCGCAACAGTACACATCTGCAGCTCTACACCCATCGGAGCTGCACAATGAAGACTCACAATGGCCTCTACATCCAGACAGAATGGAAGGGCCGTGCACACGGCAGCATAATGGGCAAGCCACCAGGTCTCCTCCTGTTGTCAGGCCCTTGGTCGTGGGCAGAGGATACGACCGGTCACTGCGCTCTAAGGAGATTTAGGTGGCCACGAGGCTCCAGTCAGTGTGCCTAAATTGCCTAATTAGAGAGTCGCATCTGGTCAACATTGATTATTTATCTGCATCCAATGTAGCAAACCAGTGTGCTATATTTATATATTATTGCTTATATTGGAACACAGTATCACTGTATAAAATCACTACACCCTCATCTTTCAAACCACAGCACAGTTTACTATAGATCACGGTCTGTGTGTGCATGGATATGACTAAATTTAGCATTGTTGGGGATACATGCTTAATGCAGTCTTGTTCATAAACACATGGTTATTTCAGTTCAGTTGACCTTATGTTTCCAAACAATCCTACATTTAAATGTACTGCAACTTGGGGAAATAACTAACAGATGCTGGTATCAGAACATATTCTATAGAAAGATTACCTACATATATTTCACATTTCAACTATGCATCTCTATGATGTTTGTATGGGACCACAAGATTTCCAACAAATAAACAGACAGAGTTAATCAAATGTCTATTTATTTCAAATCCACTAAAAAGAACAAGGAGAGAAATTAATGGGACACTATGCTCACCAGAACAACTACAGCTTATTGTAGTGGTTCTGGGGAGTATAGTATATCCCTGCAGGCTTTTGCTGTAAACATTTCAAAGAAAAGTTGGTGTTTATATTACAGCCTAGGGATACCTCCACTGGCCACTCCCCAGATGGTTACAAGAGGTGCTTCCTGACGTAGTGCTGCAGATTGCCAGATTTGGCCTAAAAACATTATTTTATACTTTCACATTATCAATATCAATTCCATCAAAAATCGGAGTGCCATTCGTTTGAAAAGTGTACCAGCACACATGCTCTGCCAATCAATAATGCCCAAATTTAGACTTAAAGTGACACTTTATCTTAGGGGTCATACTTTTCCTCTTGTCACTTTCCTATTTTAATATTATGCTTTTTTTAATTATTATTATTATTATCATTGCTGAATCGCAACGTCCATGCAGCTCCATCTTGTTCTCCTCTTTCCACAATGTCTTCACTTCTGTGATATTTTTTTGACTAACATATTTTGGCATTAGCATGGAAACTGAAATGGTGCACAGTGAAATTCTGTTAGATTACCAAAGATCTGGAATCACATAAAGTAACATAGTTCCTACGTTTTCTGATGAATTTCAAAAAATAAAAACTTGGGGAAATAGGATGTGGGAAAAGTATCTGCAAAAACAAACAAACAAACCTGCAACTACCATATTAACAAGCTGGCTAGCAGAGAGCAGGGTCATAGGTGCCCATAGGGTATCCTCTGTGTCAATCCTCGTGAAAATTATTTGACATAGAATCAGGGGATGGGGCCAGGGACACACTGGCACCGTTGCCCTACAGTGGGCTGTAGTGGTTTTGGCACTTAGACAGGTGCGGCGCATCCTATAGGCGACTTGGGCATTTAGGGGGCTCACCAAATTTCAGTGACTGGTAGGGCGGCGCAAACCACGATACAGGAACTTCTGTACGCTACATAAGTAGGATGGTAAACAGGGAGGGAGGACCACCAAGGGGGGAGTGGAGGAGCGGAAGGACCACTAAGAGGTTGGGGAGAGGGGGGACAGGAAGGACCACTAAGGGGGAGGGGCACTAGAGGAGGGAGAGGGAGGAACACTATGGGGGGTAAGAAGGACCACAGAGGGAGGACCACTAAGGGGGGAGTGAGAAGACCACTAAAGGGGGGACTGGAGAGCGACAGTGGGCCAAAGGAGAGCACTAAGGGACAGGAGAGAACACTGAGGGAGAGGAGGGAAGGGGAGATCACTAATTGACAGAAGGGGAGAGCACTATGAAAAAAATAAAAAAGCTGCTCCCCTCTCAGTCCCTATCCTGCCCCACAAACCCTCTCTTTTACACTACACACAGAAACATACAATGCATCCCTACTCATACACAGACACACCGAAACACACAATGCATTCCTTACGTGTGCACACACACACACACACACACACACACACACACACACTGCATTAAATAACATACAAAGAAACACACCTTGCATCACTTACACACACACACTACGTCACTTACACAAAATTGGTATCCCTATAGACTACATTCCATAAGAACACACACACTACATCCTCTACAATAACACATCCCCTACACTCCATGTGAGAGGACTCATGGGTGGGCCTTGTGGGCATTCTCACGGTCAGGCCCTGGGGGCCCAGACCATGAGCTGTGTAAGGGGCTCCAAAAGATGGAGCTGTTTCCTGTTCGTTAATTGTTGTGAGCACTGTTACAAACAAACAGTCTCCAGAGAGCCTCTTCTACACCAGACCTGTGGAGACAGACTGCAGCCTGAGCCCATCATCATCCTCTTGTCCTCATCTGGTGGTAAGTAGGCAATCCAATATATTATTAGTGGCACTAATCTCTAATTTACCTCACATTAAAGGGCCACTATAGTCACCAGAAGCACTACAGCTTAATGTAGTGGTTCTGGGGTCTATAGCTTGTGCCTGCAGGCTTTTTAATGTAAACACACTGCCTTTTCAGATAAAAGATACTTTGTGCAGAGCTGGCGTTGGCCCATATGGCAAAGCATATGGGTGAGGCATTGTGATGTCACTTGGTGGGCAGGACATATGGTCGGGCGGCAAATTTTTGTTTGCCTAGGGCGGCAAAAATCCTTGCACCGGCCCTGCACTTAGAGTTACTCTTTAACAAAAAATAATGCATTTACATGCTTTAGTTAGGTAGAGATATACATGAGACTATATAAAGAAACCAGATAGTGGAGTGCTGCACAGTAGTGTCTTGATGCACCAGAGCTATGTGGGGGGGGGAGGGGGTCAGCTAGCCCCCCAAATAAATCCAAAAGTATAGAGCCACAGGCTACACAGTGCATGGTGAAGAATAAGGTATATTTAATGTACGATTAAGGTGTCACGGTCGAATCGTCGTATCTTTGTTTTGTCTCCTGGATCATAATTAAATATACCTTATTCTTCACCCTGCGGCTCTATACTTCAGGGTCTAGTAAAAAAAATTATACAATTAAAAAATAAAATAAAATCAAACTCTCAGATTGGTCCCATTCACGTGCCTTGACTTCCAAGTACATATATATCAAAGCAGGGATGGGAAATATTTTTACAAAGTAAAACGTACACACTACACCTCTATAAAGCGCTCAGCAGAATGAAAATACCTTGATTGTTGACTAAAATGGGTGGAGAAAAAATGTTTATTCTATCTATATCAATTTCCTGAACTAACTACGTACTATAGGGATTTTAGAACAGGGAACTGAACATCCAATGGCTTATTCACAGGCATATAAATTATATGTAACAGGGGTTTGGCACTTGTGTTAACTATTAAATTACTTCCTCAACCAAAACTCCCAAGCAGTCTGTCAACATCTGGTGTTTAAAAATCAACATGTAGATAATACTTGAACCGAGACAACACCTGGCACACATCACACAGAGACCAGCGAAACCTTTGCAATTTTCTGTCATATTTCCCTATTTCTTAGGCAGGCAAGTATACATTTTTAAATGTGGCTTCCAAAGTGGACATTTATTTGGAAATTTGGTGTTTGATAAAATATTTTTTTATTCCAGAAGACATCAAACTGCTTTTAATTGTATACATTTGCACATTAGGGGTTAATCTCCACACCTGACCATGAACTGGCTTTGCTAAATTAATAAAGTACAATTTAGGGCTAAATTTAGAGATCGTTTTTGACTGTTGCATTTAGGAGGCACACACTCAGTCCTGAGTGAATAATGCATATTACGCTGAACTGTATATTACCTGCAAAAACTTGTAATTTGGTCGATGAGCCACAGCTTCAAGATTCTTCAAACTTGCACAGTAATCAAGCTGAAGAAAACAGCAATGAAACATTAAGATACTATTAAAAGCAAATATATGATATATGAACTATTAGAAATGTACAATTAACAGTTATTCAGTATGCACACAGGTCCTGAAACATGTGGGTTAAAGATATGGTAAAACCAAAAAAAAAAAAGTTTCCAGCGCTCTTCCCAAATCCCTATGCAGATTTTAATGAAATGGAGGTTATTTAGTTACTTCAATGGCCATTAGATGGAAGCCTACCTGCCATGTCAAGGCAAACCCACTCAGGTGGGTCCTACACTGACTATTCACCTTACTTCATTGAGCTTTAGGCAAAGATCTCTATAATGAGACCGTGAGGGATATTTTTCTAAACCCCTACATACTTAGTAACCCTTAATAGGGAACACATGGGGCGGGGGGCAGCATTGTAACATACAATAGCAAATACACAAAAACAAGTCATGTGCTCAAACTCCCACTACTCTTGGGCAGCAGCAATGACAACAGTACATATCAGCCCCAATACATACAGTAAAAAAACAAAGAAATAAAACAAAAACAAAAAAAAGTTACCCACGCTCTTCCCAGCTTTCCGAGGTTTACTGTATGTATTGGGGCTGATGTGTACTATGGTTGTTGCTGAAGCCCAAGAGAAGTGGGAGTTTTAGCGAAGGACTTGTTTTTGTGTAAGGATGTGTTAGACTTACAGCATTATTCAGTAAAAATAAACACCCCCCCCACCCCATAAATTTGCCATAAACGAAGTGTAAACATTACATGACTTTGTGTTTAGGAAGGTATTTAGGAAGGCTGTGCAAGTCACATGCAGGGAGGTATAACTAGGTCTGCATAAACAAAGTGATTTAACGCCTAAATGGCAGATGATGCATTGAGACTGCAGGGGCATTAAGCTAATGTTGTTTTTTGGGATTATAGTGTCCCTTTAAGTCTTTTCAGATTGCATAATACATTATCTCTAGCAGTAGTATTCAATTTAGCAAGTAAATTATGTAGAGAATCGTTGTGTTAATGTGTTTTATGAAAATTCAATGCATTTTGTAGGTCTGAGCGTAGTTTTGACATGTAGATCTGGGGGTTGAAATGCAGAGCAGCAGATCCTTGAGCCTCTAGCATATACTTTGAAGTTGCCCAAAGAATGCTTTCACTTATCTTCTATTTTTGTCAAAGAAAAACCTATTGTCTTCTTCTAATTCCTTAACTATCAATTTGTCACAGAGGAGGCTGTTAGCGCGCCACTGTTAATTGAGCAAAGATCATTATATTTAGCAAAAACTGGGAAGTGGTCAGGCCATGAAGAAGAGTCTAACCACGAGTAATCAATACATTTGGCATTATTCTGTGAGAGCAGCATGAGGTCCATTCTTGAGTATGTTTTGTGAGGGTGAGTGTAAAAAGAATAATCTAATAACTTTGGGTTACTTGTTCTCCATATACTGCAGAAATTTTGTGATGCCATAGGCAGGAAATATAACCAAGTCATTTTATAAATGGGTTGTTGTGTTAAGCTACTTTGTAATAACTATAGAGGTATCGGCAGAAAAACAAATCATAAACAGGAGGAAATAAAAAAAAAATAATAATAATAATAATAAAATAAAAAACAAAACACAGCAGAGGCGATCTTTTAACAGCTAATGAAAAGTTAAACGCTAGGGAAGAGTGTTCATCGTGACTCCTGTACAAAAACTATTAAGAACAATTGTAAAATAAATTCTTAGGGAACACAAGGATCTCTTCGTTGCAGCAACCACACCCTCGATTAGGGAAGACCAGATGTGGCCATAGCCGGCTTATAACATGTGCTTTGATATAAACATACTGGTCAATTTAGCTAGGTGTGGGTGCAATCACCAAATATCAACTGTTATGAGAGAAATTCAAGTACACCAGTGAGATGGCTCAGAGGGCTAATGCATCATCAGCACAAGCTGTTCAACCCTTGGAGTTTACAGGTTCAAATCTGAGGTAGATAAAAGGAATACCATTAAATTGGGTAATAGTAGCATTGGATGTTGGGCAAAAGTAACATCCCCACCAAGTATGTCCTGGGGATGTTACTTTTGCCCAACATCTAAAAAGGTACTGTAGAGAGTACACGGTACTTCTTCTGCCTTGGCCTAGAAGAAAAAGTTAACTATGTAGCAGTGCGGGATAACATATGTATCATGTTGTAAGTTACAACTTGTATATCAAGTTACAGTTGTTAGCAAAATAAAATGTAGTATATGGTAGTGGGAAACATGGACATTACCAGGGTAAACATTTTAACCATGCATACTCCAAGTCTGGTAATAGGTACACCAAACATAAGTGTGGAAGATCACCATCATATATTGCATCAGTGCAATGGAGTGCATCCTGGTGCACATTACAGATGAGCAAATTTAATCTATACATTGTGCTAGCTGTACTGTTTGTACATGTATAGATAACAGGTAAGCAAAGCAGACCACTCCTCAACGACGTTCTCCTTTTCATCAAAACAACTAGAGCGTTTTACTAGTACAGGCCTTACCTTATCAAGGTTTATAATTAGATAGTCAGCATGGTTTTCCACAAGTGATATAATCATGTGGGAAGCTCTGTGATAGAAAGAGGAAGAAATTAATGGAATTAATTTCTGTAGTATACATGCACATTACCGTTGCAAGTTTTTATGTGTATCACACTATGATTAATCTATTATTATGGAAGAGGTGCAAAACAATTTGTAGATTGAATACAAACATTTGGGCAATACAATTTTAATTATGTGTCATGAATAAGGTTTTGTTTTAATTATATGTTCCTGTGAGTACTGTATTCCCCAATACACCTTGTGAGTGATTATATATTACATACATACACAGTTTACACATTCCTAAACACAAATACACACACCAGTCAAGCCATAAGACTTGTTTTTCCCACAGAAATCTCACTTTAACAGTGCTCTCACTACTGCAAGGGATATTGGGTAGGCGTGTGCAAATGAGACTGATAATTCCACTTTATACACGGATTCATTGGACTATGTGTCTGCTGTATACAATAGCTTTAAAACACAACTCAAGAAGAGGCGCAAAGCCAGTTAACCACTCATGGACAGCGGTTTCGTTGTTAATGCAACTGATCGGCATGAGGTTGGCTACTGGCTTGCTATGGAGGTCCATGTAATAAAGTGGATTTATGAGACAAAATGTGGTTCGTTGTTGAAGGGGCTTTTAAAAGCCATCAAAAAAAAAAAAAAAACACAAGCGCTCCTGAGTTAACTAAGGATGATGCAGTAATGAGTGAGTGAGGGCGAGAGGGGAAAAAATAAAATATAAAATAAACAACAACAACACGTATTGTCTATAGCTATGCCCAATGCTAAAATAACTGTGGGCAAATTCATAGCAGCCACAGTATAGCAGTTTACAGAAAATTTCCATTCATAGTGAGGAACAGAATTGTTTCATGGTGTGTGGTCTACAAAAATACAATTATACAGCTTTCCAACTTTTCTCAAATTTTCTTTTTAGCATTATTAGCAAGGACTGTACATGGCAGACTCCAAGCTTGTCTTTACACTAGCAGAGCTTTCCAAACCGTGTGCCGTGACATGTTAGTGTGTCGGCTGCGGTGTGTACCGCGAGTGAGGTGTCTGGTCATGGTGTGCATAAACTGATACGACGGAAGGGGAGCGCATTGCACAGCGTTCCACTCCTGCAGTTCACTGCATGTAGTGTTGCCAAGCAGGCCGGCCACGATAGAGTAGCTTCTGTATCTTCTACCTGGTCTGACAGGAAATGCACTGCTAGACAGGGTACAGAAAACAGAGACTCCTCCGCTATAGATCACCTGCTCAGCCACGCTACATGGAGAGAGGAGTGGTGGAGCAAGCACGGGGAGGGAGGCAAAAAGAAGGGCACAGGAGGGGAAAGAGGCAAAAGAATGGCACAGGAGCAGGGGACACAAATGGGGTAGGGGAAGACACACAAAGGGGCTGTGGAGGGACAAAAAGACATACAGAAGGGCTGGGGAGGGAAGAGACACATAGAGAAAGAGGAAAATGAGGCATACAGAGGGAAAGGGTGGGGGGTAGGGAGAGACACACAAAAGGTTGGGATACGGAAAGCACCAAAACAAACTTTATACAGTTTTAAAATCACACCTCCCTGCATGTGACTTACACAGACTTCCTAAACACTTTCTGTAGAGTTATATAATAATTACACATCCTTTATTGCAAATTCTGTTTAATTTAGAATTGCACATCTCCTGTTCTGTTAATAGCTTGATGGACCCTGCAAGAGCCTTCTGTATGTAATTAAAGTTCAATTTACAGAGCAGGATACACAAAACATTTGATTGAAAATGAAACTTTTTTTTAAATGCAGGCTGTATCAATAGACAGAAACAAAAGTGATTTAACTCCTAAATGGCAGAGCATTGAGCAGGGAGACTTCAGAGGCATGATCTATACACAAAAAAAACTGCTTCATTAAGCTAAACTTGTTTTGGTGACAATAGTGTCCCTTTAATATTGTTTGCATACATTATCCGCCTAATGTATCAAAAAGTAAGGGTCATCACCATAGTTTCCCTTTAATTCACAGACACATATCAGCACTTTAAAAATCAGAGGAAGTGAAATTGCTTCCAGGGTTTCAAAAAAAAAATAAAAAAAAAAAGTTATTTATCAGGGCACAAGACCCTCACAAGATGCTATTAAGCTTTGTAGTTACAAAAGGTCACCTCTATCACGAGAGAATGTTCAATTTTGAAAAAACAAAATAAAGTACACAAAAAGGCTGCAAAAGGGTAGAAAACAAAATGTATTTTGTTCTAAAGCCATGACCACATCGCACTTCTCAAAACGTATTTAATTCAGTGTCAATAAGTATCACTGTTGAGACACTATGTTGCCCTAAGGAACATAACCAAAATAACAGCTTGGTTTACTTACTACGTCGATCTAGTGACCCAAAGTTCCCAACCGCTAATACTTCAGAAATAAAATCGTATGTACACGCAATATTTAGTTGAGATAACCTCAACTTCCCATATATCATACAATGTTATCAGCGCTATATTAAATTGCGTAACTTCATTCTGTCTATCAGTAATGCTCCCATCAGAAATTATTTGCTAGTACAGGTAATCCATAGGGACTGCTCATATTTCAGGATGAGCTTTTGGTTTGGTATGCCAGCTACAGGCAATTAAAGTGAAAGTAATGATTATAATTATTTTAAGCACTGAAGTGGTTTATTCAGTAACTTTTGAAAATGATTTATTCAGAATATTTATGGTTTTAAAAAAATTTAAAAAAAAAAAAAAAGTGTATCTGTGACTAAACCCGAGACCAATAGAACAGTAGACATAGAATAAAATTGTATACTATCAGATAATGAAAGTTTAGATAAGATAGTATAACTGATTGGTCGAGTAATACTGTGGCCTAACGAGGCAAGGTGGGAATAAAGCCCTGTTCCCCATTACCCCTTCTTATGGACATAGCGTGGATGTGTTGAGGCATATTGTAGAGAGAGAAACTTAAATTTTAAGTATCTTGCTGGAAAGCAGGAGCAAACAGGCAATACAAGCTTACAGGGTAGTTGACCTTCGGGATATTTGAAATTAAGGCATCACATGTAAGCCAACAATTGGTTGTATATCCTTGAAAATGCCTGAAGAAATGCATAGAAAAGTGACATACATAAGCCATGAAAGTAAACCCCCTCTAAGTGTATGAACATCATAACAAAACATAATTATTCTAATAACGACTATGTAGTTCTAATGAACGTAAATTAAATTAGGACACCTTATAACTACGAAGAATAACATACAAAGTTGAATAATTACACTGCTCCTGACATGTGAAAAATCCACTATAGTTGGTAGCCCATAAGGTTTCTTAACCTAATTGTGTCTAATATCTAAACTTTTCTGAAATATTTAGGGGAAAAAACTTCCGAATGACTGTCCACTAGATTACACACAATTGTTGTAATTACCAAAATTCTAATTAACAATATCCCTTCCATACGAAACAAGCATAACAAGCATGAAATAGGAACAAATTAACAAGGTATATAAGAAAAGGTAGCTATTAGACAAATGGACCATGAACAGTGAATGTAATACAAAAGAACTGAAATCGCACGCACGGTTTTCTGGCCGAACACATGTAGGGAGAGTAACCTTGTGTAATGCCAGAACGATGGAATAGCCCAAACGCTGCTATCCTCGCTTGCTACCTGAAGATCCATTTGTGTCGTTTGAGCGAGAGGCAATGTGTCTGAAATTTCGTGTAAAACATGTAGTGATGAACTCTGAGAACGCTTCAGACGGGAGCTTCAAACTGAGGCCGGAACCAGAAAGGCAGGTCACCGAGGAAATGGGTGAACTGATCGCCAGGGCAAAGGTAAGAAGAGGGGTATAGGGTTTTATAGGAAATCTAACTCCTCCCATAAATACAGGCCTGCGGCCTTTAAAACTTGTGTTTACAGGCTCAAAAGTGAGTTTAGTTTAACCTGACAATTAATAGAAAGTCAAATGCAAAACATTGACATTATCTTGGCTCTGCAAGAAGTCCAATTTGAATACCTTCTCCTTAAGACTGAGGTAATCCAAAAATGTATTTAAGTAATCAACAGCCCCCTCCCAAATTGTAAAATGATTGAGGTTTTTTTTTTTTTTTTAGATCACACCGTTACACTATGTATGGTCTTGTCTTGATATTTTTCTATTTGAAATGTGTTACTTCCATTAAATTAAAAACACCTGACACTGAGCCATACTGTTTAAAGGACCACTCTACACCAATAAATCACTTCACCTTGTTGAAGTGCTTTATTGGTGAGGAGTGTCACATTAGAAATACGGTTCATAAAAGTGCAGATTTCATTGAGAAATAGGCATTTTAATAAATAATTACCGTATATACTCGTGTATAAGTCGATCTCATGTATAAGTCGAGTGCAGTTTTGTGACCAACAATTGTGAAATATGCTATGCCTCGTGGATAAGTCGAGGGTAAAACTTGGGGCTATGAAATTCTGTGATTTTTATAATTATATACACACACACTCATACAAACACACACTCTGCATTATATACACACACACTCATACAAACACACATTCTGCATTATATACACACACACACTCATACAAACACACACTCTGCATTATATACACAGACTCTGTGTATATAATGCAGAGTGTGTATATAATGAAGAGTGTGTGTTTGTGTAGTGTGTGTGAACTGGGTGGGGGGAGGGCATTTTTATTATTTGAATTTTTTTATTTTAATATTATTTTTTTTTAATTATTTGAATTTTTTTTTTTGTCCCCCCTCCCTGCTTGTTAACCTGTCAGGGAGGGGGGCTATCTTAATCCCTGGTGGTCCAGTGGCATGGGCTCTGAAGTGGGGAGGCCGGCAGGAAGCATTTACTTACCTTTCCTGCAGCTCCTGTCAGCTCCCTTCTCCTCCGTTCCGGTCAGCTCCACTGTAAGCCTCGCGGTCTGGTTGCCGCGGGGATCGTTGCCACGGCTCTGACGGCCACGGCTCTCTAAGTTGCCATAATACAGACAGTGACTCGAGTATAAGTCGAGTGGGTGTTTTTAAGCACAAAAAATGTGCTGAAAAACTAGACTTATACTCGAGTATATACTGTAATGAAACAGCAACTGCCTGACAAACAGTCATGGGTTTCTTCCTGCTTCCATTAGCTCCCTTGAAGTACTAGATGTGGCAGGCATGCTCTACTTGAGCGCGTGTGCCCCCTCCTTCATACCTTAGAGCAGAGTGCTGTAGGTGGCCAGCAGGCACGTGCATGGAGGGAGACATTCAGTGGCTTTTCGATGACAAGCCTTTGATTGGCCTTTTCCCCATAAAGAGACTGAAAGTCTCTTCCAGGAAAGAAAAGGGAGCGTAGGTAGAGGCTGCAGTTCATATGAAACGCAGCTTTTGCAAGATCTTTTAAGACATACCACAATGGATACATGCATGAAGGCTTTTTTCATATTTTGCCCATTTGGTCAGTGAAGTGTTCCCTTAAGTATCTTTTTGTCTTTGTTTTTTTTGGTAGAGAAGACACTTTTTGTGGCATAGACATTTTCAGTGATGGTTAAGATATTTTAGTGCTAGTGTCACGTATCTATATAGAGTAGCTGGTGACTTGCTAGCTTGCTTTTACATTCATGTTGCATTGATCAGTATATATTCAGAGAGATATGTTCTTAAAATGTCATTGTGGCAGACCACCTCGACTCCGCCAAACACGCTTCCTAGCGATTGCCGGAACACCATCAGCACTTCAGCCACTGAAGCTTGGCTGGAGTCTCGCGTTGCTTCCTGTGGTCAAAGCTCTCCTTCCAGGCAGGTATCGTCCTCTGCCGATTCCACTGCAGCTCTGCTTCCAGTGGTTAAAGTTACTGCCTTTACAAAGGGAATTGCTGCTTTCAAGCCTAGCTCACTTGATTTATCCCAAAGCTAGAGTGATCGGATCGTGCAGCCAGCCAACAGGTCCAAAGACTGTCACTGGGATTCCCAAAAATCCACACGGGACACAAGTTCCAAATAGAACTAACAAAACATTATTTTACTCAGGACTAGCCCATATGTTCATTACCTCAACCTTGCTGTGACAAACTTAATAAAATACAAATATCAAAAACATGTCAGAAAACATACAGGGAATTATAATAACATTAACCCCTTAAGACCGGAGGGCGTACTATTACGCCCTATTTTAGGCGGCTCTACACGCCGCCAGGCGTAATAGTACGCCCTCCGGTCTTTCTATACTTACCCGGTCGCTGGCGATCGTGGTTGGGGGGACTCCCAGGGAGCCCCCCGCGGCACGTCCGACCCCCTGGCAACCCCCCCGGCCATGTGAGGGTGAGGTCCTTGCGAGGACCTCACAATTACATGGCCGGGTTAGCTGCCTCCTGCATTGCCAGCAAGGAGGGCTGCCTGTAATTACAGGTGGTCCCCCTGCTGGCTGAAAATAAAAATAAATTAAGTGTAAAAAAAAAAAAAATATATATTATATATATATATATATATATATATATATATATATACACATATATATACATATACATACACACACACACACACACACACACACACTGTCTAGGTGTATATTACTATTAATATATATATATATTTTAATATCAAATTACACGTAGACTGATACTGATTAAATATATATATATATATATATATATATATATAATTAATATAAAATAATTAAATATGTTAAAAAATAAAATTCAAAAATAATTAAAAAAATATATAGATGTGAGTTATTTCATTCTAACTGTATTGTGATATTAATATATATCAAAATACACGTAGAACAAAATATATATACATATACACACACCTATATATAAATAAAAAAATTATATATACACACACAGAAAAAACAGACACACACACACACACACACACACATATTAATTCTACATATATATTTATGTAATATCTTTACATAATTAGGTATCTTCATTAATTACAATTAGCGGGACCTGCCTGACAACCCATGCCGAAAGTAAAGGGAATTTAATTTGCTAGCACTATATTTAACCCTATAACCTTCCAAGACACCATAAAACCTGTACATGGGGGGGTACTGTTCTATTCGGGAGACTTCGCTGAACACAAATATTAGGGTTTCAAAACAGTAAAGTGTATTACAACGATGATATCGCCAGTAAAATTTAAGTTTTTTGCCTTTTTCATGTACAAACAGCACTTACACAGACGATATTATTGCTGTGATACTTTTTACTGTTTTGAAACACAAATATTTGTGTTCAGCGAAGTCTCCGAGTATAACAGTACCCCTCATGTACAGGTTTTATGGTGTTTTCAAGAGTTACAGCGTCAAATATAAGGCTTGCATTCATTTTTTTCACATAAAATTCGCCAGATTGGTTACGGTGCCTTTGAGACCCTATGGTAGCCCAAGAATGAAAATGACCCCTATGATGGCATACCATTTGCAATAGTAGACAACCCAAGGTATTGCAAGTCCAGTCTTTTTTAGTAGCCAAAATTGGCCACAAAATTGGCATTTTTTGCATTTTTCACACAAACAAATACTAACGCTAACTTTGGCCAGTGTTTGTGACCAAATGGCTACTAAAAAAGACTGGACATACCCCATTTGCAATACCTTGGGTTGTCTACTATTGCAAATGGTATGCCATTATGGGTGTAAATTTCATTCCTGGGCTACTATAAAGTTCCAAAGGCAACGTAACCAATCTGGCGAATTTCAAATGTAAGGTGCTATATTTGACCCTGTAACTTCCCAAAACGCCATAAAACCTGTACATAGGGAAAACTGTTTTACACGTGAGACTTTGCTGAATACAAATATGTGTATTTTATTGCAGTAAAAGCAAACAGTGTTATGACATTGACCGTTAAATTGTCATGTAGAACTAAAAAAAAAAAAAAACGTATTTTCTCCCATTTTTTTCATATTAAGTTATGTTTCATAGCTAAATATTTTATATTAAATGAAAGCCCGGTTTCCCCTGAATAAAATGATATATAATAAGGGTGGGTGCATTTAATATGAAAGAGATGAATTACGGTTGGACAGACATGTAGCACAAATGCCAGGTTTTGTTTACATTTTGTTTCGTTCACAACGTGTACATTTGGCTCCGTCCTTAAAGGACCACTATAGTGCCAGGAAAACATACTCGTTTTCCTGGCACTATAGTGCCCTGAGGGTGCCCCCACCCTCAGGGACCCCCTCCCGCCCGGCTCTGGAAAGGGGTAAAACTTACCTTTTTCCACCGCTGGGCGGAGAGCTCTCCTCCTCCGATCCTCCTCTTCTCCTCCCGTCGGCTGTATGCGCACGCGCGGCAAGAGCTGTGCACGCATTCAGCCGGTCACATAGGAAAGCATTCATAATGCTTTCCTATGGACGCTGGCGTGCTCTCACTGTGAAAAATCACAGTGAGAAGCACGCAAGCGCCTCTAGTGGCTGTCAATGAGACGGCCACTAGAGGAAATAGGGGAAGGCTTAACCCATTCATAAACATAGCAGTTTCTCTGAAACTGCTATGTTTATGAAAAAAATGGGTTAACCCTAGAAGGACCAGGTACCCACACCACTTCACTAAGCTGAAGTGGTCTGGGTGCCTAGAGTGGTCCTTTAACCCCTTAAGGACACATGACATGTGTGACAGGTCATGATTCCCTTTTATTCCAGAAGTTTGGTCCTTAAGGGGTTAAGGTAGTAGTATGTGAACCCTTTGGAATGATATGGATTTCTGCACAAATTGGTCATAAAATGTGATCTGATCATCATCTAAGTCACTACAATAGACAATCACAGTCTGCTTAAACTAATAACACACAAAGAATGAAATGTTGCCATGTTTTTATTGAACACACCATGTAAACATTCACAGTGCAGGTGGAAAAAGTATGTGAACCCTTGGATTTAATAACTGGTTGAACCTCCTTTGGCAGCAATAACTTCAACCAAACGTTTCCTGTAGTTGCAGATCAGACGTGCACAAAGGTCAGGAGTAATTCTTGACCATTCCTCTTTACAGAACTGTTTCAGTTCAGCAAAATTCTTGGGATGTCTAGTGTGAATCGCTTTCTTGAGGTCATGCCACAGCATCTCAATCGGGTTGAGGTCAGGATTCTGACTGGGCCACTTCAGAAGGTGTATTTTCTTCTGTTTAAGCCATTCTGTCGTTGATTTACTTCTATGCTTTGGGTCATTGTCCTGTTGCAACACCCATCTTCTGTTGAGCTTCAGTTGGTAGACAGATGGCCTTAAATTCTCCTGCAAAAAGTCTTGATAAACTTGGGAATTCATTTTTCCTTAGATGATAGCAATCCGTCCAGGCCCTGACGCAGCAAAGAAGCCCCAAACCATGATGCCCCCACCACCATACTTCACAGTTGGGATGAGGTTTTGATGTTGGCGTGCTGTACCTTTTTTTTCGCCACACATAGTGTTGTGTGTTTCTTCCAAACAACTCAACTTTGGTTTCATCTGTCCACAGAATATTTTGCCAGTACTGCTGTGTAAAATCCAGGTGCTCTTGTGCAAACTGTAAACGTGCAGCAATGTTTTGTTTGGACAGCAGTGGCTTCCTCTGTGGTATCCATTCTTGTTTAGTGTTTTACGTATTGTAGATTCGCTAACAGGGATGTTAGCATTTGCCAGTTACTTTTGTAAGTCTTTAGCTGACACTCTAGGATTCTTCTTCACCTCATTGAGCAGTCTGCGCTGTGCTCTTGCAGTCATCTTTACAGGACGGCCACTCCTAGGGAGAGTAGAAGCAGTGCTGAACTTTCTCCATTTATAGACAATTTGTCTTACTGTGGACTGATGGACAGCAAGGCTTTTGGGGATACTTTTATAACCCGTTCCAGCTTTATGCAAGTCAACAATTCTTAATTGTAGGTCTTCTGAGAGCTCTTTTGTGCAAGGCATCATTCACATCAGGCAGTGCTTGTTGTGAAAAGCAAACCCAGAACTGGTGTGTGTTTTTATAGGAGAGGGCAGCTGTAAACAACACCTCCAATTTCATCTCATTGATTGGACTCCAGTTGGCTGACATCTCCCTCTAATTAGCTCTTGGAGATGTCATTAGTCTAGGGGTTTACATACTTTTTCCACCTGCACTGTGAATGTTTACATGGTGTGTTCAATAAAAACATGTGGAGTTTGCTTGAGAGTTTGCTTGAAAGTAGGCTATTTAAAGTAGTCTTAATTAGGAGTTAAAACAACAGGAGTTTGTTGGTGAACTGGTGGACGGTATTAGTTAATACCAAGCGGAAAAGAAAAGCAAGTTTAAATTTTAGGGGTTTTTTTTTGTATTTTGTGGGGTTTTTTTGTTTTTACTTTTACCCTTTCTAAAAAAAGATTATTTCTCCTTACTGTTTTGATTTATTTTAATATTTTGTAACTTTTTTCCCTTTTTAATATATATATATATATATATATATATATATATATATATATATATATATATATATATATATATATATATATATATATATATATATATATATAAAATTTCTCTCTCTTTGGATATATTTAAACTTTGTTCTTTTTTTTTTTTCTCTTTCCCCTCTCTTGTTGTTTCTATTCCCCCCTCCTTGTGGGTGCTGCTGCTGAGCTAATAAGGGGGAGTGCCCCTTAATTTCCACCTGTGTGGGATTTGTATTGCCAATATAAACCCACTACTGACTCACAGAGCTTGCTCACTGGAGTTTGCTTGAAAGTAGGCTCTTTCAAGTAGGAGTTAAAACAACAGGAGTTGAAACTACAAGGGAGTTTAAACCAAGAGGGTTAATATTGTTTTTGCTCACTTGTGTTTTTTGTTACTGGGGATGAGTGCTAGCAAGATTGCAAATTTAACTCAGTGCACATCATGCCGCATGTATGCATGCCTGGATGATTCTGTCCAGGGTCCATACCTCTGTGGTGGGTGTGAGCGAGTGGCATTTCTGGAAGCTCAGATTAGAGATCTGGAGAGGCAAATTGTAACACTGAGGGAGATTGACAATCTTGAGAGGAGTCTGCTGCTCACTGAGCAGAGTTTAGTGGGGACAGGTAGTGGAGAGGGAGGAGATAAAACAGATGGGGAACAGGCACGTAGCTGGGTGACAGTGGGTCGAGGAAGCAGGGGGGGAGGGAAGAGAAAAGGTTTAGCTAGTCCTGATCTCATGCAGCCTAACAGATTTGCCCGTTTGAGTGAAGATGTTGGGAGCATAGGCTCAGGAGTAGCTGTACTGCAGGAAGCTGTTCCTGCTAACAGCCGTGGAAACAGCCCCTCTAGTATGGGTTGGGTTGAGAGGGTAAGGAAGTCTAGACAGGTTGTGGTGGTAGGGGACTCTATTATTAAGAGAGTAGATAGGGTAATCTGCCGCTCTGATCGACTCAACCGGACAGTTTGCTATCTCCCGGGTGCTCGGGTCTGGCATGTTGCCGACAGAGTGGAGGGATTATTGGGAGGGGCTGGAGATGACCCAGCTGTCATGGCCCATATTGGTACCAATGACAAAGTCAGAGGAAAATGGAAGGTCCTAAAGAATGAGTTCAGGGAACTAGGAAGCAAGCTTAAGAAAAGGACCTCCAAGGTAATTTTTTCAGAAATATTACGTGTGCCACGCGCTACAGCAGAAAGGCAGCGGGAGATTAGAGAGGTCAATGCGTGGCTAAAGTCTTGGTGCAGGAAAGAGGGTTTTGGGTTTTTAGAGCACTGGGCCGATTTTGCGCTTGGGTACAACCTGTATAGTCATGATGGATTGCACCTAAACGGAAGAGGGTCTGCTGTGCTGGGGGATAGGATGGCTAGAAGGTTGGAGGAGATTTTAAACTAGTGGTAGGGGGGGAGGGTCAAAGCAATCTAGAAAATGGAGATAGGATGGAAAGGAGATGGGCTTTAGCTCAGAACAAAGGGGGTGGAGATGGGGGGAGGGGAAAACTCAGAACAGAGGAGGTATGTAATATTGATAATTCACAAAAAGTACAAAAGACTCATGATAATATTAAATGTATGCTTACTAATGCAAGGAGCCTATATAACAAAATGGGGGAACTAGAGGCAATAGCATACAATAAACAATATGATATAATAGGCATAACAGAAACATGGTGGGATGAGACACATGACTGGGCAGTTAAGTTAAATGGGTACACGTTATTTAGGAAGGATAGGAAAAACAAGAAGGGTGGTGGGGTATGTTTATATGTCAACCATGAGTTAAAGTCAAATCTTAGGCATGTGGAGTGTGACGAGGAAAAGGTGGAGGCTTTATGGGTAGATATCTGTTGGGGCAAACAAATGGAAATCAATTATTGGTTGGGATATGTTATAAACCACCTAATGTAAATATTAATGAGGAAGAACAGCTGTTAGAGCAAATTGAGAAAGCTGCAAATCGAGGTAACACGTTAATTATTGGAGATTTTAATTCTCTAGACTTAAATTGGGAAAGAGGGACTAGTACTTCAGCAAGGGGAATCAGGTTTTTGAATGTGTTAAATGACACCTTTATGTCACAACTGGTACAAGCACCAACTAGAAAGGATGCTTGTCTGGATCTTGTCATAACAAACAATGTTGATCTCTTAACCAACATTCAAGTAGAGGAGCATTTGGGGAATAGTGATCACAATATGGTAAATTTTGAAATAAACTCAAAAAAGCAAAAGTAGGTGGGGTATACTAAAACATATAACTTTAAAAAAGCCAATTTCAATAAGATTAGGGCAGCTCTACAACATATCGACTGGCATAAACTCCTTAAGTGATAAAAACACTGAGGATAAATGGAAACTATTCAAACATATATTAGAAAGGTACATTTCTCAATATGTACCATTGGGTAATAAATATAAAAGAAACAAATTAAAACCAATGTGGCTTAGTAGAGAAGTAAAACAAGAGATTAAAAATAAGAAAGGGCATTTAAAGCATTTAAATCAGACAAATCAAAGGCATCCAATTTAAGATATAAGGAAGCCAATTAAAGTCGCCAAACTAGAAAATGAGAAATTGATAGCAAAAGAATGCAAAAGCAACCCCAAAATTTTTTTCAAGTACATCAATTCTAAAAAAACAAAAAATGAAAGTGTAGGTAACACTTGAAACAGAGTTGGGTTTATTAGCTAATGAAGACCAGGAAAAAGCAGAAATTTTAAATAACTATTTTTCTTCAGTATATATTAATGAGGATCCTATGGCAAGAGATATGCAAATGTTTGCTGCAAAAAACTTACAAATAACTTGTGATTGGATAACTCGAGACAAGGTGCTACAGCTATTAAAAGAAAATTAATGTAAATAAAGCTCCGGGGCCTGACGGTATTCACCCACGAGTACTTAAGGAGCTAAGTGGGGAAATAAGTGAACCTCTGTATTTAATTTTTCAAGATTCTTTTGTTTCAGGTGTTGTACCGGAGGATTGGAGGAAGGCAGATGTTGTTCCTATATTTAAAAAGGGTTCAAAATCCTTGCCTGGAAATTATAGACCTGTGAGCTTAACTTCTGTAACTGGGAAAATATTTGAAGGGCTATTAAGGGATAATATTCAGGAATTCATTGGGAAGAACTTTGTTATTAGCAATAATCAGCATGGTTTTATGAAACATAGGTCATGTCAAACTAACCTAATTGCATTCTACGAAGAAGTAAGTAGAAGTATGGATCAGGGTGTTGCAGTGGATGTGATCTACTTGGACTTTGCCAAGGCATTTGATACGGTTCCTCACAATAGGTTAGTCTTCAAACTAAAAGAAATTGGTCTAGATTAATATTCTTGGTCTCAAAGGTAACATTTATCTGGCAAATTTCAATGTGAAAAAACTAAAATATGGAATGTGCTATATTTTACCCGGTCTCTTTCCAAAACACCTTAAAAACTGTTAATGGTGGATACTGTTGTACTCGTGAGATTTTGCTGAATCCAAATATGTCCTTTTTTGCAGTTAAAGCTAACAGTATTGTGACATTTACAGCTAAAATGTCAGGCGGAACTACAATTATTATTTTATTTTTTTTCGCAGTTTTTCATTTTTATTTTATTCATAATAAATTATGTTTCATATATGAATAGTTAATGAAAAATTAAAGCCCTGTTTCCCCTGAACAAAATGATATATAAGTGTGGGTGCACTTAATGTGACAGCGGTGAATTACGGTTGAACAGACATATAGCGCAAATTCCAGTTTTTGTTTTGATCAGAACGTGCACTATAGACTTCGTCCTTTAGGGGTTAAAGTGTATTATTGTTACGACTACATTGTTTATTTTATTTTTTTTCTATTTAACAGATTAAAACATCTGTAGCCATGTAAACGGGGAGACAGACATTGCAGGATGGCCACCCATAGTAATGCAATGTATATAATGTGAGTCACTGACTGAGCCAGGCACACTCTGCCCAGCCTGGACTGCTCTCACAGTAACTCTGTCCCATAACTTCCTACACCCATGCCTGGTGCCCATCACCCGCTTACTTACATGAAGCCCGCCCCGCCTGTCACCAGCAGCCTCTTGCAGAATCCCATGTCGCACCCACAGCGGCTTCTAACGTTCAATGCAGGTACCGGCGGCAGTCAGACAGGACTGCCATCAACCAGCCGCTCACACACAGGCACAGTAATCCACCCCCGTAAACCGCATCCATTGCCAGCCTCTGTGGCAACGTCGCAAAATGATGCCTTGGCAGCCCTACTTTACGGCTTTACCTGACAACGTACACGTCGCAGGAACATAGCTCCCCGCAGCCGATTGGACGGCGGCTGGATGGATGCGCTCTGTGTCACGTGACCAGGCCCCGCCCCCCCCTGTGTTTCCTGCTGCAGATGTGGCGGCTAGGCGCTGCACATGTCACCCTGCAGGAGGAGACCGGACAGAGATGCTCGGGGGGCTGGCGCTGCTCGCTGGGTTAGCCCTGCTACATAATGCCGGGGCCAAAACCGTGCATGGGAGCTTTGACAGTGCCCTGGCTTGGCATAGCCGGGGGCAGCACATTGTCACCTTCCTGTTCCATGGTGGGTACAGTATGGGCATGGAGGGAATAACAGCATTACCCAGGGCAGAGCCCACCATGGTCTGGGCCTATCCCACTCAGCATTGCCAAGCAGTGCAGGCCTTCCCTATTAAAGACTAAAATAACATGTTATCACTATGATAAATTACTTACTGCCATTCCAGCTGTTCTGATACACTGCATTTCACATGACCCTCAGCCATCCTAGCAGCCCTTTAAACATCATGGGAGCAGTAACCTTCAATGCCTTGGATGCAAAATTGTATTTCGATATTACTGTATATTGTAGTAGGGAATGTCTGAGCTCAGGAACAAGTGTGATAAAAAATTTGGTCTGTCAATAAGTTTTAATTCAGGGATAACCATGAGAATGTACCATGTATATTTTATTGTAATTGTACAACTATTTTCCAACCATTTCCAGGTGTAAGACAGAAGAATAAAATTGATGTTGAATGTAATGTGGCTTTTTTTTCATAGTGACGGGTACATGCGTTCTCTGATATTGTGGTGTGCACTCATACTGATGTGAGAGAATCGATTTAGTCTTACATGTCCGTTGATAAAATCTTCATGCGCTAAACGGGCATTTGCAAACGTTGGGTCAAAGTGACCTGAATGAAAATATTGACCCACTGACATATTTACAGTTCAAGTTTCGTGGCTTAAAATGTGCCAATTCTACACATTCAAATATTGCATGGTCATTTTACCTGATCTAAAAAACCTAAACATAAATGTTTCATATTTTCCAACATGTCATTTGCTTCTCTCATGTGACCTAAATACTATAAGTGCATAATTAATGCATTGTTTAAAGTTTTGTTTTGCTATGATAGCAAGTCAATTCAATCAGCCAGGTAAATTTACTATGTAAAAATGAATAGTCATTACATTTTCAGAGGAACCCAATGTGAGTGGAAAAATCCTATAACTGCATATTTTCGGTCACGGTATACTTGGAAAACAAAGCATTTTGGATGGTGCAGTAGTGTTATTAAATGTGACATTGGCAATTTTGCTAATTTTATGAATCTGGTGCTTGGAATTATCCTTGCTAAAATACCTGATATGAGGTCGTAGGCCAGTGTTGTGGTCCTAATATTTAGTTATTGTATTAAGCTTTGTTTTCTTCTAATGTAACTTTTTTTTTTTTCTACTCTGCACTTTGAGGCAGACATCTGCAAATGTTTGGGGGGTGGGAGGGATTTCTGAATGTCTAGCATGTGTCACGTTTACTGTTTTGTGGGAGGTTAATGGCAAATAATTTTTATTACCTTGTATGTATGCATGTGTGTGTGTATATATATATATATATATATCTCTATAACATGTAAAATTGGTAGCATCTGTTTTTCCTCTGTAGATTATGATTGGATTTGTTTTCATTTTAAAGGAGACCAGGCTGTTCTCTGTGTCAGAATTACTAATGTTGCTGCTGCTGCTGGGAAAGATGCCACTCTTTACCTTTATCAGAATGAGCAATGGCTGAAGATGCACGGCAGCATGGAGGAATACAGCTGTACAGAGAAGTTGTCACTTGCACAAGTATTAAGTAAGTGGTAATGGTTATTAATTTTCTTGCAAACTGACTCAGTCAGTTTTTGATCTGATGGGACAGATCCAAAGTAGGAACCAAGTTCTTTCTAGGAATTTTCTTAAGCACAGCTGATGAAATCTGTAAAACATTGAGACATACGCTCAAAAAGTAATCTCTCTAACCGAGAATGTTTTAAATATTTACAAATCCGCTACTTGCACACCAAAAGCAAGAAGATGCGCCCCTAAATCCAGTGAAGTCTGATATCCCCCACCCAGTAACATCTACATGTCTGGCTAAAAAGAGCCTGTCGACATGCTATGAACTCATTTTGACCCCCTTAACCATGTTTTTATCTGATTTGCTAAGCAGCAGAGCTGGTAAAAGACATGTTAGAGGAAAAGTGTGAGGGGTCGGCCAACATGTGGAGAGTGGTTACTGTACCAATTACAAGAGAAACCAATAATTAGGTGGTACTTAGTACCTGCAAACCTTTCACATATATTTGGTTCTCAGGATAGGAAGTGTTGGAGGTGATGTACTTAGAGGGGGATGGACCTTCATATATGGTGGACCTGCTCCTTGTTAAAGCCGATCTTTATATTAGCTTCCCAAATAGTCAAAACTAGCATTCAACCTGTTCCTTGCATGGGTCTTCTCTACATATTCCCAAATACCTTCCTGAAATCTATGAAGTATATACTATGCCACCTCTTTCTAACCACCAAAAGAGCAATGGTTTTCCTCCATCAACTATTGAATTGATGTCTAGAAATCTTATAAAATTATATTCTTTGGTGCTTGAAAAACCTCAATAAAAATGTTCAGTGGGTGAAAAAAAATCTGTTAAACATCAAAATAAAAGTACACAAGTGAAAACCTAATGAAGACCTTCATATGAGCAGTCTATACTGTGCACTCAACAGGTACACGGCTGGTTAGCATAGACAGTGTCAGCTCAAACATTTGCAAACTTCTTTAATCAGTCACTTACCATTGATCCATTCTATCCATTGATGGGAGAAATGCAGTACTATTACAATTCTAAAACAGTTTGACACAGTACGTTGGGATTATGTCAGGGCATTGAGTGGGCTGTATTAGTTATGGTTCTTGGCGTTTTCCTTTAATGCTTTTTTATGTGACCATTTTTATAAAGCTGTATTACAACACAAAAGACAGACTATAATGAAAGAAGCAAAATGGACAAGAATAGCCATAGATGTGCATATATTCTGAAATGATCCTGATATGAGCTTTGAATGCATCTGAGTATATAACTCGCATATTAACGTTCAAATTACAACACAGGCAAGACACTTAATACAATATTGTATAGAGTAACAAATTAGCAAATGTGTTTGTTTTTTTGTGGGCGGTGGGAGAGGTATTTGTGTTACAGTTACCTGATATATATTTCATTTACTTTGTTGTAGTACCCTTGAATCAAACAGAATATAACTACACTTTACCCCAGATTGTGTATCCAAAAGCATGGTACGCGATTTATGCAGACAAATACACATGTCTTATGAGCTATGAAGACCCTAAATCAGATGATATCACATATGAAGTCACTTTATTGAATCCTGATGCTGCAGGAAATCCGTTTGATCACTTTGGAGCTGATGAATCAGGTAAAATTTTTATTATTTACAGGATAAAAGGAAACTATTTCTCTGATTTGGTTTAAAGGGACTCTCCAGTGCCAGGAAAACAATCAGTTTTCCTGGCACTGCAGGTCCCCTCTCCCTCCCACCTTCCATTCCTCGGTTGCTGAAGGGGTGAAAATGCCGCGGGCAATGCCGTTCATTAGAGCTCTCCATAGGAAAGCATATAAAATGCTTTTTAATGCTTTCCTACGGGGAATTGAGCGACGCTGGAGGTCCTCACACAGCGTGAGGACGTTCAGCAACACTATAGCACAGGTTTTCTGTGCTATGGACCAGGAAGTTCCCTCTAGTGGCTGTCTAGTAGACAGCCACTAGAGGTGGAGTTAACCTTGCAAGGTAATTATTGCAGTTTATAAAAAAAGGTTAGTGGGAGTTGGCACCCAGACCACTCCAATGGGCAGAAGTGGTCTGGGTGCCTGGAGTGTCCCTTTAATGAGTACATTTTATTGCTCTCTAGTATTTTGCTAATAACATTGTGACGGCCTGCCGTCACTGAGTACCAGGCCCACATATGCCCACTTGCTTGCCCGCATTGTTTCAGATCCTCATGTCGGGGATCTCCCTATCTAAGAGGCAATGTATTGGTTGTGGAATCCCCTTGTTCGCAAATCATGTTTGGGCTGGATTGGAAGAATGTGCTTGTCCCATTCTGGATATGATATTGAAACACAAGGGGTTGTTTGTTCCTGAAAGCTGATGAGCATTAACATGTCATAGAAACATAGAATGTAACAGCAGATAAGAACCATTCAGCCCATCTAGTCTGCCCAATATTTCGAAATACTTTTCATTAGTCCTTGGCCTTATCTTAAGTCTAGGATAGCCTTATGCCTATCCCACGCATACTTAAAACTCCCTCATTGTGTTAACCTCTACCACTTCAGCTGGAAGGCTATTCCATGCATCCACTACCCTCTCAGTAAAGTAAAGTAATACCTGATGTTATTTTTAAACCTTTGCCCCTCTAATTTAAGACTATGTCCTCTTGTTCTGGTAGATTTTCTTCTTTTAAATATAGTCTCCTTCTTTACTGTGTTGGTTTCCCTTTATTTATTTAAATGTTTCTATCATATCCCCCCTGTCTCGTCTTTCCTCCAAGCTATACATGTTAAGATCCTTTAACATTTCCTTGTAAGTTTTATCCTGCAATCTATGAACTAGGTTAGTAGCTCTTCTTGAACTCTTTCTAGAGTATCAATAGCCTTCTGAAGATACAGTCTCCAGTACTGCATACAATACTCCAAGTAAGGTCTCACCAGTGTTCTGTACAATCGCATGAGCACTTCTCTCTTTCTACTGCTAAAACCTCTCCCTATGCAACCAAGCATTCTGCTAGCATTTCCAGCTGCTCTATTACATTGTCTTCCTTTAAGTCATCTGAAATAATTACTCCTAAATCCCTTTCCTCAGATGTTGAGGTTAGTAGGGTATCAAATATCCTATACTCTTCCCTTGGGTTTTTACGTCCAAGATGCATTATTTACTTATCCAAATTAAATGTCATTTGCCACAGCTCTGACCATTTTTCTAGTTTACCTAAATCATTTGCCATTTGGCTTATCCATCCTATAACATAAACCCTGTTACATATCTTAGTAGCATCAGCAAAAAGACATACCTTACCATCAAGACCTTCTGCAATATCACTAATAAAAAAATATTAAAGAGAGTGGGTCCAAGTACAGATCCCTGAGGTATCCCACTGGTAACTAGAACTTGCTTCGAATTTACTCCGTTGACAACAACCCTCTGTTGCCTGTCATTTTGCCACTGCCTAACCCATTCAACAATATAGGAATCCAAACTTAAAGATTGCAGTTTATTGATAAGCCTTCTATGTGGAACAGTGTCAAAAGCCTTACTGAAATCTAGGTAGACAATGTCTACTGCACCACCCTGATCTATTATGGTAGTTACCCAATAAAAAAAATCAGTAAGATTAGTTTGGCACGATCTCCCTGAAGTAAACCCATGTTGTCTCTGATCTTAAAAATCCATGTGATTTTAGATGTTCAACAATCCTATCCTTTAACACGGTTTCCATCACTGAAGTAAAGACTCACTGGCCCGACTCCTCCCTACTACCTTTCTTGTGAATGGGTACAACATTCACTAATTTCAAATCTTCTGGGACTACTCCTGTTAACAATGATTGGTTAAATAAATCTGTTAATGGTTTTGCTAGTACACCACTAAGTTCTTTTAATAACTTTGGGTGTATCGCATCAGGCCCCATCGACTCATTTGTCTTTACTTTTGACAGTTCAAATAGAACCTCTTCCTCTGTAAACTCACATGTAACAAATGACTAATTTGTCCTTTTTCTTAACTGAGGCCCCTTTCCTTCATTTTCATCTCTAAATACTGAACAAAAATATTATTTGAGGCAGTCAGTTAGACATTTATCCTCTTCTACATACCTTCCTTCTTTTGTTTTTAATCTAACTAATCCTTGTTTTACTTTCCTCTTCTCATTTATGTATCTAAAAAATGTTTTATCCCCCTTTTTCACTGACTGTGCTAGTTTCTCTTCTGTGTGTGCTTTGGAGGCTCTTATAACTTGCTTAGCCTCTTTCTGCTAAATCTTTTAGATCTGCCTGTCTTCCTCACTCTGTTTTTTTTTTTTATACAATTATTAAACACTAACTTTTAGTTTTTTACTATTTTGGCCACTGCGGAGTACCACAGTGGTTTCTTGAATTTTTTGCTTTTACTGACAAGCCTAATGCAATTTTCTGTTGCCTTCAGCAGTGCAACTTTTAAATGATCCCATTTTTCTTGGACTCCATTTAAATTGCTAAAGTCTGATAATGACTCCTTTACACATAGTCTAATTTTAGAAAAGTCTTTTTTTTCTAAAGTCTAAAACTTTTATTTTTGTGTGGTGTGACTCAGTCACTTTTCTTATATTAAACCACACTGACTAATGATCACTGGATCATAAACTTTCACCTACAGTAATATCTGATACCAAATCTCCATTTGTTAACACTAAATCTAGTATGGCCTCCTTACGAGTTGGTTCCTCAACGATTTGTTTTAGAGACAATCCCAGTAGGGAGCTTAGAATATGTGTGCTCCTGGCACAAGCAGCTATTTTGGTTTTCCAAATCACATCAGGAAAATTAAAGTCACCCATGATGATAACTTCCCCCTTCATTGTCATTTTAGCTATTTCTTCATCTAGTAGATTATCTCACTCTTCTATTTGTCCAGAGGGCCTGTAAATCACACCTGCACAAGTTACTGTGTGATCTCCAAATTCTAATGTAACCCTAACAGACTCTATGTGTGCCTCACTAACTTTTATAAGGCTAGATTGTATGCTATCCTTCACATACAGGACCACCCCTACTCTGCCTACTTTCATCTGAAAAACATAGCCAGGGTACAACACTTAATTCCATCGGATGATATGCCAATATTAACCCATGCATTTGTATCCTCTCGGCTAGAGTATTGCAATGTAATTTACTTGGGCCTCCCACAAAAAGAACTCCATCACCTTCAGACTGTACAAAATCCAGCAGCGAGATTACTGACCAATCAAACTTGCTCCTGCCACATATCACCTGTTCTCCACTCCCTGCATTGGCTTCCAATTAAAAGGCGAGCATATTTAAAAATGGGCCTGCTAACCTTCAAAGCCTTAAAGGGACACTATAGTCACCAGAATAAATATAGCTTAATGTAGTTGTTCTGGTGAGTATAATCATTGCCTTCAGGCATTTTAATGTAAACACTGTCTTTTCAGAGAAAAGGCAGTGTTTACATTGCCCCTAGGGACACCTCCAAGCAGGGGCGTATTAGCCACGAGGCAAACAAGGCATTTGCCTTGGGCGGCATTTTCCAGGGGGCGGCAAAAAACGCCGACCCCAAATGCCCAGTGCAAATGTCTTGTTAGCTTCGGGGCTAACAGACATGCTGGGCGGGCGGCTGGCGAGGGAGCACTGGGAGGCTGGGAGCCGGGTTGATGACGTCATATTGCGGCTCCCAGCCTCACTGTGCGGCGCGCGAGGGAGCTGAGCAGACCGCTCAGGGTAAGAGCTCCCTCGCCAGCCGCCCGCCCAGCAGCCACTGGACCACCAGGGAGAGAGAGGAACCTCCTCCCCCAGCACTCCCAAAGGTAAGGAGGCTGGGGGGGGGTTAAATAAAAAGAAATTTTTTTTTGGATGTGAGTGATTGTGTGTGTCTGACTGTGTGTGTGTGTGTCTGACTGTGTGTGTGTGTGTGTGTGTCTGACTGTGTGTGTGTTTGTGTCTGACTGTGTGTTTGTGTCTGACTGTGTGTTTGTGTCTGACTGTGTGTGTTTGTGTCTGACTGTGTGTGTGTATTTAGAAGGTGGGGCGGGGGGCAAGGGTTGGGTGGGGGTGGCGCAGGGGACGGCGGTGTCTGAGTTTTGTCCTGCCTATGGCAGCACAAATCCAGGATACACCACTGCCTCCAAGTAGCCACTCCTCAGATGGACACTGAAGGTGCTTTCTGGCTCAGTGCTGCACAGTAGGCAGCACTGCCGTTCAACATCTCCACGCTCTGCATGGGGACGTGGAATTTTCCTCATAGAGATGCATTGGTTTAATGCATCTCTATGAGGAGGTGCTGATTGGCCAAAACAGCATTTGGCCTCGCCCCCTTGCTGATTTTAGCCAATCCAATGCTTTACCCATTTGAAAGCATTGGATTGGCTAAAAATCGACTGTTGGGATGATGTCACCAAGGGGGGCAGGGCCAGTGCCGGCAGACCCGCACGGCACTGGAAATAAGGTGAGTTTTAATTTGCTTTTAACCCCTTAAGGACCAAACTTCTGGAATAAAAGGGAATCATGACATGTCACACGTCATGTGTCCTTAAGGGGTTAAGGGGGGGGGGCAAGCAACCTAAATGGTGGGTTTAACACTATAGGGTCAAGATTACATGGTTGTGTTCCTGACCCTATCGTGCTCCTTTAAACAATCAAGGCCCACGGTACCTGGAAGAGCTCCTGACACCCTACATTCCATCCTGTTCACTTCGGTCAGCCAGCAAATCCTTCCTGTCAGTGCCAAGAATAAAGACAGATTCAGTTTCCAGGGTATTCAGCCACGCTGCCTCTACCTTCTCGAACTATTTACCATGTGCAATCAGAGAGGCACCATTTTACAGACTTTAAAAAAAAAAAAAGCTAAAGACCCACCTTTTCCGTTAGGCATTCAGTCCGCTCAGCTGACCTTCAGAAATTCATAACTTTTATGTCTTAATGTTTGTATACTTGTAAAGTGCTTTGAGTCTCACAGGGAGAAAAGCGCTATAAAAATCGCAAATTACGGTATTATTAATGTGACTAGATTTTCTATGTAGTTCTGTCAGACACAAACAATATGAAGCTCAAAGAAAAGAGGGACATTAGTGTAAAAAAAGGGACAGATGAATTTGGGACCAAACCAGGGACTGTGCCTCCTAAATAGGGGCAATTGGGAGGTTGGAATTAAAAATAAAATGTTACCTTTTTAACCCTTTAAGGACACAACTTCTGGAATAAAAGGGAATAATGACGGAATATTTCCATCATGTGTCCTTAAGGGGTTAATGTAATTTTAATAGATGATCTATCCTTTTCAGAATTGTGAACTAAATGTTTCCTCATTTATGTTATTGTTGCCTACATTAGTTTTCTGTTTAAGTTCCAACACTTTCTTTTTTTCTGTCTCTAGGATTACATGAATTTTATTTCCTGCTTGTGCTGGTGTACTTTGTGGCTGCTTGTATTTATATCCAAGCTCTTTGGCAGACAATTAAGAAAGGAGGTCCGATGCACACAGTTCTTAAAGTTTTGTCAATTGCATTGTTGTTGCAGGCTGTGTCCGCTTTGGCAAATTATATACATTTCTCAAGGTAATATATTGAAATCTTTCCACTAGTCTTCCTGCTATTTTTAAAGTGAAAATCTTATTCTTACAGTGTTACTGTTTCTCAGGTATGCAAGAGATGGCAAAGGAGTACCTTTCATTGGAAGTTTTGCTGAATGTGAGTATAGTACCTTACTGAATTAGCGCTTTCAAATGCAGTGAGGTCACACATTTTACTGACTGTACTGACTTTTAAAATAAGCCACGCATTTGCTAAATGTAATAGAAATATTACCACAGTTTTTAAAGGCCTAATTCATGCGTGAATGGCGATTTGGGTTTCATTATCTGTACTCACAATGTGCTTTTACAAGTGTTAAAGACCCGTAATCATACGCATTAGAAAAGTATGCCTGCATGGTTGTACCTGTGGAGAGAAGTTAAATGAAGATATTTTTACCCAAATCTCTTCTTCTTGTGCACCCCATCTTGGGACTTGAGTTGCTGGCAGATGCCTCAAAGAGCTGCTTCACATTTGTGCTCTCTTGAGGTATTCTTTCATGCCATATTCTTCCATTATGCAATAGTTAGGAAGATCCCACATCATTCCTAGTTCGCATTACCAAGCACAAGTGATAAGTAATGGCTTGTGGTAAATGACAAGTTGTGGGAGCTAATTAAAACTCTGCCTCTTGCCAATAATCCCTACGTATGTATATCTCTAAACTACTTTGGAATTTCAGTGGAATAATGGCACAATGTGTATGGATTTAGTGTGTGTGTGTGTGTGTGTGTGTGTGTGTGTGTATATATATATATATTTTTTTTTTTATTTTTTTTTATTTTAAGAAGTTTAATTACACATGACAAATATTATCTCTGAGCCAAGTAATGTTTCTGATACACACTATTACATTGCACAGTTTGTTGAGCTATGTAAAATTATGTAAGAGGTTTTCTACACAATTTTAATGTTTAATGACATAGCGTGAGGACGTCCAGCGTCAGGTGACCAAAAGTCGCCTAACTGCACGGAAGTCCCTCTAGTGGCTGGTTGGTAAACAGCCACTTGAGGTGGAGTTAACCCTAGCAGGTAATTATTGCAGTTTCTTAAAAACTGTAATATTTACCTGTTTAGGGTTATGGGACCTGGGACAGTGCACCCAGACCACAAGTGAGAAGTAGGGGCAAAACATAAACGTTAAAACTTTTATGCCATCATCTTAATGATCAGAGGGGTAAAAATAATGTGCCAGTTACATTGCAAGCCATAGTCAACATAGTTGTTTTTTTCACCTCAGAGATAAAGTGTATCAATTACATTGCAACACAGTCTAGCACTAATGCTTCAATATGGGGTCCTGTTTACTTCGCATCAGAATAGAGCAGAATAAAAAGGAATATTTATATTTTATTCATACAGACAAGCTAAAACTGAAATGACAGAATCATTGAGTTTGCATTATGATTCTGTCATTAAACATTAAAATTGTGTAGAAAACCTCTTACATAATTTTACATAGCTCAACAAACTTTGCAACGTAATAGGGTGTATCAGAATCATTACTTGGCTCAGAGATATTTGTCATGTGTAATTAACTTTACATAAGGTTCTTCTTCTGGTCCACACTTCTTAAAAAGAATTGAAACTCCTAACTGCTCACTATCGATTGTCTCATATTTTCATAGTGTGTGACATAGCGTCAGAGGTGCAGATGCTATACTTGCTGCTAAGCCTGTGTATGGGTTGGACTCTCAGCAGAATGAAGAAGTCTCAGTCAAAGCCCCTCCAATGGGATTCTACCCCTACATCCACTGGCTTTGCTGTTGTGGCTGTCACTGCACAGGTCTGACATTTTCTATATTTATCTACTTTACATGTACCCTGTGGATATAATAAATGTAATGTTAAGAAACAAGTTAATTGAGTCTTCACTGTTAACTTTTCCTCTTTTCCTTGCAATAGTTCACTGTGCATACATAGGTCTCATACTTTTGTAGCTATATGCAAATTTTAAGAGATAAAGAAAGATTTCTTGTCATTCTTTTTAGTACTTGAATGGGATTTGATCACTTACATATTCCTCATGTGTCTAACTGTTGGAACATACTTTTATGAAAGGTGGTTTTGTCCGGATTGTTAAAGGGAAACTATAGTGCCTGGAAAACAAACTAATTTTCCTGGCATTATAGATTCCCCCGCAGTCAAGCTGCATCAATGCTTTCCTATGAGGTTTGGGTGACGCTGGATGTCCCAATGCATAGCGTGAGGACGTCCAGCGTCAGGGGACCAAAAGTCGCCTAACTGCACGGAAGTCCCTCTAGTGGCTGGCTGGTAAACAGCTACTTGAGGTGGAGTTAACCCTAGCAGGTAATTATTGCAGTTTCTTAAAAACTGTAATATTTACCTGTTTAGGGTTAAGGGACCTGGGACAGTGCACCCAGACCACAAGTGAGAAGTAGGGGCAAAACATAAACGTTAAAACTTTTATGCCATCATCTTAATGATCAGAGGGGTAAAAATAATGTGCCAGTTACATTGCAAGCCATAGTCAACATAGTTGTTTTTTTCACCTCAGAGATAAAGTGTATCAATTACATTGCAACACAGTCTGGCACTAATGCTTCAATATGGGGTCCTGTTTACTTCGCATCAGAATAGAGCAGAATAAAAAGGAATATTTATATTTTATTCATACAGACAAGCTAAAACTGAAATGAGAAAATTTTAGAAATATTGAGGTAAATGGGAAGAATATGGTTGAAAAACACCGGATGTAATAATGGTGGGTCTGGTTTTGTTTTTTATTTAAGACGTTTTGGCAATTGATGCAACAGCATATTTTCACTTTTTATCAATGTTAGAACTTGCTTTACTGACAGCTGACAATTCCAACATTACAATGAACCAGTATGTGTAACTCTGAATGAAAATGTGGTGATATGTTTCAAGCCCTGTTGCTTTATTATGTTGTGATATTCTATAATGTAATGCAATTTCAGTCTTTCGATTTTGTCTTTCTTTCATATGGTAATGATGGCTGTCTTTCTAGTGTTACAATAATGCATTCATTCTGTTGTCTTGGTAACCTTATTCATAAAATGCAGCTTATCCAGATTATAATTAAAAAACAAGTATGTCTCGGCAAACATTTATACTACACAAGCTGCCAATATTAAGAAGCTGTGTAGAAAACCTTAAGATGTACAAGAGGTAATTCCAACCATTATACAAATATCAGTGATTACATTCTTACTCCAGTTCCTTTTTTTCCCAGTGATTGCTATGTACAAAATAAAAGGGAGTACCTGGCATTGAAACAATATCATCTTAAATATGTAATATTTTCTGTCTTAAATCCACTTGAGGTAAGGGCACAGTTCTGTCACCCCAAGTCTGACTGGTGGTAAATGTACTTGGCATTGCAATGCAGACAATCTTGAATAAATGTAATGGAATGCTGTAAGTATAGTGGTGCTTATTAAGGCATCAATTTAAAGTGGCTCTGTCACCTCAAACTTAACCTTCTCCTATTACTTCTTCTTCTTTCAGAATATGTTCTCCACTTCTGATCTTTTTCTTTTTAAAACATAAGACAAAGCAGAGACTACTTTGTCTTATGTATTTTTGCTACTCTTGACAATTTTGATAAACGGGTGGTGCTTAAATAGATACTATAAGTGCCAGGAATATATAGCTCGCTGTGCCTCCCCCCTCCCACTGCGGTAAGTAACCCTTTATTTACTTACCTGATCCCAGCACCAATGTAACTTGCTGATGGGTAGTGGCTCTGCCTCCTCTTCTGTCCCATGATGAGCAGGCGCTAATGTGCTTGCGCAGCAAATACCGTGTGCGCATTAGACCTTCCCATAGGGAAGCATTAAATCAATGCTTTCCTATGGGGAAAAATCTGATGCTGGATGTCCTCATGCAGAGCGTGAGGATGTAGAGAGTCAGATACTGGACCTAGGTCGATTTGGGTGCAGAAAGTACCTCTGGTGGCTGTCTGGGAGACAGCCACTAGAGGCTGACTTAGTGCTGCAATGTAAACAACTTTAGCTTAAAGCGAATCTCCAGTACCAGGAAAACACATCCGTTTTCCTGGCACTACAGTGCCCCTCTCCCTCTAACAGTATTGAATCATTTGAAAAATTATTAAATCAAGGCCTAATTTAGTGACCTAAAGAGGTATACATAAACATATAACTGGGTGACTGAATCCTTGTTTTGTTTTGTTCTTTTATTTCATCTTATGTGTTTTTATAAAGGTTGTAATATTTGTCTTTAGTAAAAATATTCATGAGTCCAGTTTGGTGTTCTCTTTGTAGAACTTTTGCCATTATTATAGATTTAGATTTATTTTACCTTCTGAAGACTTGCATTACTGTGTTTGCAGGTTATCTTGTTAGTCTGGGAGCAGTTTGAGGAGAATGAACATCACAGTTTCCATGCCCATCTGAGCTTGGCAGGAACCCTCCTGATTGCTTTGAAAATTTGCCTTGCAATGTCTTTGGCTTTTGGGCTGTATCAGATAATCAGCTTGGAGCGGAGCACTATGAAGCGGCAGTTCTATATCACCTTTTCAAAAGTATGTATCTTATGTCTTAATTGTGCCTTGCACTGCTCTCATGGCTTTGTTTGCTTGCATTGTGTGTGAGTGTGAGAGAGTATTTTTAAATATTTATTCTACCAGTTTCATTATAGAAAAATAAATAACTCAGATGGATTCAGACGGGTGTTCAATTTTACATTTGCATATAATGCGTTCCCTTAGGTCATTAGATGTCTTGCCCACGTAATTGAGACCACAAGGGCATATAATTCTATACACAACATGTGAGGACCACACATGTCTATAGAATTATATGCCCCTGTGGTCTCACTTACGTGGGAAAGACATCTAATGACCTAAGGGAACGCATGCAGGGTCACAGATCTACTATACGTTCAGCACTACTGAGCGGCACTGCAAGCACTCCAGTCGCCAGGCATTTCCTTGAGATGGGACATAGCCTGTCCTCGCTTCGCTTTATGGGAATAGATCACATACCCATCTCACCCAGAGGAGGAGATCGTGATAACCTGTTACTCAGACGTGAGGCTTTCTGGATACACACGTTGGAAACACTATCACCATCTGGTTTAAATGAGAAGAACTCATTATATTGTTTTTTACCTAGAAGATAATATATGATTGAGCTATGTTTTACAGAATGCATTAATATAATACTGTTATTTGCCGTAATTCCATGATGGAAGTAGTCCATATCGTATAATGCTTCAAAATTGCACTGACAATATTTTGCTATATAACTGAGTTAATATTTATCTAATGACGATATGTACTATGTATCTATGTTCCCTTGGTTAAGGTTGAAACTTTTGTATATACTTTATTTTTATAGTTATTTATCTTTTATTACTTCCTGACTTAGCTACACGAGAGTATGTTTCACATACCAGTTACACATAGGGTTAACTTCAATTTATTACGTAATTCAAACATGTTTACGTCATTAATGACATCACTCTGATCCGTTGTTACATTTCACCTGTTCACCTCCAAACTGCATTTTTTGTATATAAGGTATCCATCTCACATACACAATTGTCTTGAAAAAAGTATTTTACAGACTGAAACGTCGACTGAAACGTTGTGTGAATTTGTAATTGCTCAATAAAGCAACAGATGAAATTTACCTTGAAAGACTCCTGAGTGCTCTCTACTGGTATCTTATACAATTTGGTTGGAGACAGCACCGGAGCATGAACCCCTTAAGGACACAGGACATGTGTGACGTGTCATGATTCCCTTTTATTCCAGAAGTTTGGTCCTTAAGGGGTTAAAGGACCGGGAGCATTGAGTACTGGGTCGTGTGTATGTATGTATATATGTGTATATATATATATATATATATATATAACTCTTTTTACACTTTATCATCTAAATATATTGTGTACAATCAAATTTCAGCTAAAAGCATAAACTATTATATCTTTTGTGTCAATTTTCATTGTAAAGTATTTATGGTGGGGAGTAGATCATGCTAACCTAAAAGTGATAGGTTTTCTATTTTGCGCTGTTTGTGTTATTTTGTACTGGATTTCTTTGACTCAAGTGTCAGTAGACATTAATCATCATGCGTTGTTTTTTTTTTTTTCAGGGTTGCTTCTTGTGGTTTTTGTGCCACCCATGCTTTGTAGTCATTTCTTACTTGTTCAAAGAGTATCAAAGAGAAAAGGTATGCATTAAATTACAATCAAAATAAATAAATGTCTAAAGTTGCATCTTTAAAATACACCATAGCATTAAAAAATGAATTATATTCTCGGCTGTATAAATAAACCCTATCTTACGACAATTAGTTATAGATTCAGCAGTTTGAGTACTCATAGTAACAATTATTACTTTAGTCCTTCGTGATTGTAGACTAATAAAAAATAATTAGAGAAACTATGATGAAAAGATAAGGCTTTGTTTTGATACACTGCATTTATACATTTGTTTGTTAAAATGCTGAGTATATATAATTAGGACTAAAATACATTTTTTGAAGTCTAAAACAAATACTGTAAGGGGTGAATTATAGTTTTAAAGTTAAACATTTGTAAAATGTGTGAGGCTGAGATTACAGTATTTATAGTAGTGATGGACTAATATTAGTAAAATTTGGCAGGCTGATATTACAATGTTTATATTGGTCACAAAATCCATAACCACTACTCAGAAGTATATATTTGTAGAAATTACATCCTCCAGGCTATGTAACTTAGAGCTTTTTTACCCTTTTCATTTAACCATTTGATCACAAACCTAGGTCAAATAAGTATTTTCACACACTTTTTGTTTTGGGGAAATTCACAGACCACGCAAGTCTAGCTATTGCAAACACCCTATATTTGTATTCTGCTACTGATCTCAAGTGCAATGAACCCCACATGTATACCAATTTCTATAATCCAACCCTTAATTCTACCCATAATTCAACGTCTAACCTACCTATAATTCAACCTCTTATCCCACCTCTGAGGGATTCCCTCTGCTGATGTCTGTACTGACATCAACAGAGGCATTTTCTAGCTCACACAGTACAGAGGGCTCTGTGAGCACTGTGTGATTGCAGCGTGAGAGCGAATTCTCCAGCACACAGAGATCGGTGATGGTCAGCTGGCAAAGCCCAACAATTATACGTAATTGGCGTACAACTTCAATTACGTATCAAGGTATCAAATTAACCAGACCTAGCAATCCTTTAATGCAAAGGTGCCTTAAGGTGTTGAAACATACCTGGGGTTCCTTAGTACAAGCAGGGATTTAACTCGTGCTGGTACCTTTACTGCATGACAGTCTATGCTGCCACTGAATGTTAAAGCCCTGCACTGCATGATGGCATAGACCGTCATGTGGTCCTTACGTGGTTAACATATAAAATGCAAATATGTTATAGACATAGCCATTTAATTTAGAAGATGAGTCGGTTTTATTTCCTCCACCAGTCCATGTCAAGCTGCTGCCATTGTTCCATACAGTATGCCAGCTGTTGAAAAGAAAGAAAGAAATGGCTGTGAAGATTACAACTTTGCAAAGTGAGGAGATATGTGCTACAACACATCAAAATTGAAATCAAAAAGGGCTTATTATGTTACGTAGCATATGGTTTTTGTTTCCACTCTGAATGTATATGCTGGATATACCATATTTAACTTCTCAAACTTTCTGAGGGAGATTTACAGGGTCATTCACTAAAGTCTGTGTGGCAGTCTGAGTCTGAAAAGGACAAAACCATCCGGCTCACACTATTTATCAGTGTCCTGATGTGCAAAACATTACTAAGTGTTCCCCTTTTTTGTCCTCAAATGGATAAAGTAACATCCTGGAAGTAACAGGGGGTTCCATCAACTGTATGAACTACTACAAGTGGAAAAAACTAAACACGATTGTTAGTAATGCATATACAATGACCGTTATTGTATTTTGTGGATTAAAATAGATTTTCCTACATCCATTACCTAAAATATAGGCAAGAAGGTATTTGTCTAAGAAAATGTTTTTTAACGGTTTTAGATCAGAGCATCTTTAAAGTCTCCTTTTAACATAAAATCCTATCTGCTACAAAAAAATCATAAGATTTCAAGGGCTTGTGTATCATATTTGTGACTTTTTTTTCTTCACCTTCAATCTAACAAATGCTTAAAAAATTATTTTTTTTGTTATACTAAATGGTTTTATACATTCCAATAACTTCTCCTTTTTCCTTTCCACAGGTGATCACTGTTGGCGTTGTCCTGTCTCAGTCACTCTCTATGGTTATCCTTTATAGACTTTTCTTGTCACATAGTCTGTATTGGGAGGTATCCTCTCTTTCATCTGTAACTCTTCCCCTAACTGTGTCATCAGGGCACAGAAGTCGCTATTACTCTTGATACCATGAGCAGGGATGTCTTAACAGTCATGGAATTGCACTGCAGATAGACAAAGACCACTAATGTGCTCCTCAGCGCTTGGGACATTTGTGCTTTTTTCAAATGTCAAAGGAAATATCTGGTGTTAGGATAGCGACGTGGTGCTGAAAAGCATTCTGTTTGAAGAAATTCAGGATTGTGCTCTCCCAAAATATTTTCAATTGAAAAAATATCATTGGGGTTTGTGAAAGCATGTAGCATAATGGCCAAATTTTTCCTTGTAACCACCAAATGAATTTTCATGTCACATCTACACAGGGAGCAGTTAAACAAAAATAGTTCAAGAGAACAGACCTACATTTCAAAATCCAATTACATTTCATAGTTCTGGACCAGGTAACGTTTTTGGGCCTTGAGTATGAACTGTGTTACCAAACCAATTAAATTAAATAAAATGTCATTGTATGCATTGAGATATATATGTGAGTATGTGTGTATGTATTTTGTTCTGTTATTGATTTCGGTTTTCTAGTTTTAAAGTAAAAAGTGAGAAGTTTTTGTACAAGTCTAAACATTTTATCTAAGCCATATGCATTAATATAAAAATACATGATCGAGATTTAAGGTTTATGGTACAGCAATAAAGGTTGTACAGAAAGGTATTTGATGAAATATATGTTTTTTTTTTTTACTACATGACTTGTGTCCAATTTATTTCATATTATTTTTTTACTATTATCATTTGCTTAATCCTTGAGTAGTGAGGAGTGTAACCCCTTTGTTTTGTGCTGTGTGTGCGTGCGTGCGTGCGTGTATGTATATATGTATATATATAAAAAAAAAATTTTTTTTTACACTGATCAGACACAATATTAAAACCACTGATGGGGAAGTGAATAAAATGTATTATATTGTTACAATGGCACTTGTCAAGGGGTGGGATATATTAGACAGTAAGTGAACAGTCAGTTCTTGTATTTCAAATGTTGGGACCAGGAAAAATGGGCAAGCAACAAGATCTGAGTGACTTTGAGAAGGGTGAACCGGCATCAAGGCTCATTGATGCACATGGGAAATGAATTCTAGCCCATCTGTTCCAGTCATTTGTAACTCAAGTTGCTGAAAAACTTAAGACTGGTCACAATACAAAGGTGTCAAAACACACACACAGTGCATCACAGTTTTTTGCATTTGTGACTGTGTAGCCGCAGACCGGTGAGAGTTGCCATGATTACCCCTGTTCACCGTATTCAATGGGGACATGAATGTCTGAACTGGACCATGGAGCGAAGGGCGAAGGATGAATGCTCTAATGAATATTGTTTTCCTCTAGGTTCGGGTGCATGTGTGTTGTTTACCTTAGAAAAAGGTGGCAGCAAGATGCACCAGGGGCAGAAGGCAGGCGTGCAGAGGCAGTGGTATACTCTGGGCTGCCAAGAAACACTGGGTCCTGGCATTCATGTGGATGCACCTTTGACACATACCATCTCCTTAGAGATTGTTGCAGACCACATACATCCCTTCATAGTAATGGTGTTCCTTGATGGCAGTGTCCTTTTTCAGCAGGGTAATACACGCTTGCCACTTTGTAAAAATTGTTCAGGAATGGTTTGAGGAACATGACAAAGAGTTCAAGATGTTCCTTTGGCCTCCAGATTCCCCAGATCTCAATCCAATTGAGCATCTGCGAGATGTGTTGTAACAAGAAATGCGAATCCATGGAGGCATCACCTTGCAACTTGCAGGATTTAAAGGACCTGTGCTATTGTCTAGGTGCCAGATACCACAGGACACGTTAAGAGGTCTTGTGGAGTCCATCATGCATTAGAGCTGTTTTGGCAGCATGAGGGGGACCTACACGATAATAGGAAGGTGATTTTAATTATGTGGTTGATCACTGTGTGTGTGTGTGTGTGGATGTATTTGTATATACAGTGTAGATTGGATTAGCCATATTAGTCCAGTAGACAAGATACCAAAATACCAGAGTATTGCAGTGTGCAATGATACCTTTTTTTATTGGACTAACATAATATTTCAAAGAAATATTATGTTAGTCCAATAAAAAAGGCGTCATGATTACCGATAGGCGATCTCACCTGCTGTCACTTCCGGGATTTCGCCGATCTTGCCCCGCCCATACGTCTGACGTCACACGCTCCCATGTTAAAAGGAAGCTGCAGGTACTCCGAAATTGCTCAATTTGTTACAATTTGTTGCCAAGTGCCGTCTCAGCTCCCTGTGTTATCAAGCTGTGTACCGAACCTCTGAACTTCCAAACCAACCTTGCTGAACTCCATACTCATTGAACACAGAAAGGACTCAGACTATTCACCAACCTCCTCCAACAAGCTAAATTCTTTTGTTATACAAGGAATTGCTACTTTGTTCAATTAATTCAATTTAATCCTTCCAAGGGGTGATCTCAGCCAATTCTTAAGTTAGTTCACTGTGCTTCCATTTATACCTGTATTCAAATTGCATCCTGAAAAAATCCTGCACGACTCCTGTATTATTCATCTTGCTTAAAGCATAGATTCCTTACTGTCATGATACCTGTTCTGTCCGCTGTAGAGGAGGTCGGGCATTTGGATGCCTATTCCCAGGAAGGGACTCATGCACCCATCTCCTTCGGCCGTTTAGACGCCGGCCGCTATAGCCCCACCCCCTTTTATGACGCGGCGCAACTTCGGCGATGTCACAGCCCGCCGAAAAGTTTGAATCGGGACATTTTGGGGGGCGTGGACATCATTTAAAGAGCCAAGGTATAAAAGATACTTACAGTGAGTCATTGCCCTGTTGTGGTTCCAGCTTGTCTGTTCCCTCAGTGCTATTTCTGTTGTTGATTTTTGGTTCTTGACTTGGCTTTGTATCTTGACTTTGCTACTTTCCCTTACACTTGAACTCGGCTTGGCTTTCGCTTACCTGTCTTCTCGTTCCCTCAACCTCTGCTTGTTCCTGACCTTTCTTTGTCCGTGTGACGTTAGTCCAGTCACTCAAGGTCCGGTATATGCATTTCTAATTATTAATACTCTGCGTGTTGGATCCCTGTCTCGATCCTGACACTTACTGGAACATTGTTTAAAGTATTTAAATAAGGATCTTCATACTTCCTCTGCAGGTATCCTTTCAAATTGAATTTTATGGCAAGACAGGAGGCTTCATATTTGCTTTACTTTCTTTACTGAATCCTCCCAGCACCAAATAAACAGTTAAACAATTGAAAACAAAATCAACCCATCAGAAGATATTCATACAGTAATATGAGAATCCTCCCAACCCCTCTTTCTTTGCTGCTTGCCTCCCAGGTGAGTCTATTCTGATTACATTGGCCTTAGTGCTGTATATTTACCTCAGTTTTTTGCCATACCATTGTTTTAATTGTATTTTTTGGTCTTAATTATTATTACATCTTTATTTCTACTTCATTATATAGATTCTCCCCTTAGGGCCGACCTCTTGTCTGCCCACAGGGTTTTTTCTTTCACTCCCACCGGCTCTTAAGTAATTTTATCCTGTTTTCCTCCGCTCTAATTATTCCCCTCCCTTTCAGTTTAGGTTTTTTTGCTGACCTAATGATCTTATCTAATCGTGGCTTTATTCTTATCATCCCAACGCTCTACTAGTCGGGCCTCACTGCTGCGAGTATTGCGCAACCTATCTGGCCATTTTCCCCGCCTTATTCCTGTGGCGCAGGTGGCCGCTGCCTCCTTCAGAGCTGGCGGCCATTTAGTTTTTTTCTGCAGTTTATTTTCATCAAGTCACCAAGTTCCAAGGTAAGTTTTTCTTGTGAAATATATTTCTTTGTACTACTCTTCCATAATCATATCTTTTAAAATACTTTCTAAATAGTTTCTACCTATTTATCTATTCATCTATTTAAAGTTGAATTATTTTTTTGTGTTCATATAAATAAATCCAAACATTAATCTGCTTAAAGGGTTTATTGTAACAGGTGTCCCCTGTTTGCTTTAGTGGTAATTTTCTCTACTACTTGGCTACCCACTGCGTCTTTGTTTATATATATATATATATATATATATATATATATATATATATAGTGTGTGTGTATTATTTATAAAGTGGGTGGCCCCATTTACTGCTGCATCTTTGGGTAACCCCCATATGCTTTACTTGGGTGACCCCCAAGATTTATTTCAAAGGTTGACCCCCTTTATTGTAACAGGTGACCCCTGTTTGCTATATTGGTAATTTCCTCCACTACTTAGCTACCCACTGCGTCTTTGTTTATATAAATGTGTGTGCATTATTTAGAAAGTGGGTGACCCCATTTACTGCTGCATCTTTGGGTAACTCCCGTATGCTTTACTTGGGTGACCCCCCAAGATTTATTTCAAAGTGTGACTGTGAAGGGTGACCCCCTTTCATATCTGATGGAGGATTCACATAAGGGGCTCCGCACAGTGCCTCAGCCGGTAAAGACAAGGCACCAGGCTAAATATCCGAGGTTGTCACACACCTCCTCGAGCCAAAAGATAATTGATCACCTAGAGGGTTCCACATCCCACTGTGACCTACAAGTCGTGGATGAGTACTGCGCGGGGTATTCTGATGACAAATCCCCACTGATGTGCTACATGCTAATGCTCCTTATATCAAGGAGCCTTATATCAAGGATACTTTCCTGATCACCAACCAACCAATCACCTAAGCAACAATCTGCTTGACATAGCTGGCCCCATTATACAAATATTTATACTTGCTGATGAAGCTCTAACAGATTGTACCTTGGATCCACATTTGGTAAGAGAATGGACAAAGAGGGGCTTATGTTTACTTGGCAATGCTAATGTAGCCATTTCAGCTGAACAATGCAAAGCCGTTTACACAAGATTGACGCAGAATTGGCAAATTTAAGTTCTTAAGAACTCAGTCCAGAGGCTAATGGCCTATTGTTTGGTGATCAATTCATGAGAGACCTCAACAGACATGTTTCTATTTTCACCTTTCTTAATAAAGGTCAAACATTCCTGCAACAGAGTGTTCTGCTCTCATCCTTTTTCTGGCATAGAGGGCGAGCTACCGGCAGGACTGCCTTCACAAACTATAGGCGTCAACCCAGTGAACCTTGAAAATCAGGTGATACCCACCTCTATCACAGACAAGTTCACAGACAGAGGATCGATCAGAGGATATGGGTCTGCTTCACTCAGGGGTCGCACTGTTGCAGGTAATCAACCTACCTTATATTCTAATACCTATTACAAGCTGTCTAGACCATTTTTTTCCCACGGTGGTATCTCCTCACTCAGGATCCTTTAAACTGTTTCAAGGTTTCACATAGATTCCATCTTATACCCACTACAAGAGTTTCCTCCTCCCCCTCTAAGGATGTCCCAAACGGACACAGCCATTTTACACTCAGAACTCTGCAATCTCAGAGACAATGGTGCAATTGAACATTCTCCATTCACACCCTGGTTTTTCATTCCAGAAGAAATCCAACGAATTTCACCATATCATCAATTTAAGAAACTTAATCAAAATGGAAAATTTTAAATGGAGGTATACACATGCTTCAAGACCTTCTCCCACTTCGACTTAAACGACTTAAACAGTTCCGGTGGCATTCTCCGATCGCCCTGTTCTACAATTCCTCTGGCAATTCACTTGCCTTCTTTTTGTTCTCTCTTCCGCCCCTTGCTGTTTCACCAAGTTGATGAAACCAGTTATGGCTCTTATTCAGTCCTATCGTCTATCTAGATAACATCCTAATCATGGCTCAAGATCCGTTCACCCTTCAAAAACATAGAAATTACCAAATTTCTACTACAGA